ACCCCAGATTAAAAATTGGTATAGTCATATGAACAATAATTAAACAAATAGCAGCTCAGAGGAACTCTACATTGAAGCAAAATGTGGAACGTTAGAAGGGTTTTTGACATTTAAAGGAAATGTCAGAAGAAAAATACCTTTATTTATATGTATTTGTGAATGTTTTTCTAGAAGTTATACTTCAAACTCCTGCAGCTCTTGCTTCATCAATATGTAACCAGGTGGGAGTTGGGGAGATGACACAGGGGACCAGCAGAAAGACGAAAATATCACACTCAGGAGGAACAAGTTAATATTCACCGAAGCCCTGATTTATTTTTCTCTAAATTCTGCCAAGAATTTTCAGTTACTCTTTACAGAGATGCCCAGAGGAAGTGTGACAGAAATCTCGCCTGTCGAAGTTTTTGGGATGGATAACTAGGCTTTACCCCAGAAGCTGTCACCAGTCACAGTTGTTTTAAAAGAGGACAGTGGGCCTCCCTGGTGGCGCAAGGGGTTAAGCACTGCACTATGAAGCAATCCACCGCCTCTGAAGCACAAGTTCGATCCCCGGCCCGCCAGGGAGCAATCCATAGGGCACAGCAGACCTCTCCTGACTTGCCCGCTGCTCCCCTCAGCAGTGTATTTCAGTCAGTCTTCATGTTCTGTTCCCCACTGTGTCTCTGGTGAATCCTCTCATCCCCCTGGGCCTGTACCTCAGCTCTTGTATGCATAAATAAATAAATATTTTTTTTAAAAAAAGAGGACAGTGGTATGGCAAAGAAGAAAACTAGCCTTTTAGTGGGGAACTTAAAGTGTATCTGCACATGTTCTCAATAGTGCACACTCAAAATTTAGAGTCTACTGTGACTTTAAAAAGACCAAAAAAATAAGCTAAACACATCCAACTTTTTCTCAATGTACAACATTTGTAAATTAAAAGTCACTGTTGGGGTTGATAAAAATATGAAGTGGAAAATGCTTAAGGAAAGAAGGCAGACTGGCAGATATTACTTCAAGTTCAAGACTGAGGCAATTCCAAATAAATTCTTCTGTAATCATTTAAGCATTTGGGATTACGCAAACATGCCAGTTACCTAATTTAATACTTCAAATGGAAAAAAAAAATTTTAATAGTGATGGAGTGAGGAGGGGATTAGAAATGAGCAAAGCAAAGACAAAGTACACAAGACATTCTACTCGCTGAAGGCTTTAAAAATCTGAGGCTGTTCTCATTGCAGAACTTGCCTTTGCTAGCTGCTGGTTTAGCTGCACATAGTTTATTTTCCTTTCTGTTGTAGTTTTGTGCTTTTTTTTTTAAAGAGGCATGTATTTTTATTTATTTATTTATCTGTTTGTTTGTTTGTTTGTACATGCACTGGGTACAGTCAGAAGGACGGGAGGGTGAGAGAATTCACCAGAGCCAGAGCGGGGAGCAGAGCAGGCAGAAGGACCGAAGCACACTGCTAAGGGGAGCAGCGGGCGGCAGGAGAGGTCTGCGTGCCATGTCGGATCCTCCTCCGGTGGCCGGGGAGCAGCCGGGGATCGAACTGGCGCCGCAAAGGCCGTGGGCAGCTTCGCAACCCAGCGCTCAACCGCTGCGCCACCAGGGAGGCCCAGTCTTGTGCTTTTTTGAAAGCAAGGGGTGACAGCATTTCTCTTCAGGCTTAAGCACGTGCAGAAGCAGAGAAATCCCGAGATTTCTGCATCTGAAGTACAGACACGGAGTAGTATTTTTGTATTTTACCCAGACCATCTCCACATATTACCAAGGCAGAGGCCTATAGTGGCTAAGTCCACGGCCTCTGTATTTAGACTTCAAGGTTCAGCCCTGTTGCTTACTATTGAACTTTGTGCAAATTATTGAAACCAAGTTTCCTTTGCTTGCCTGAAATATTAGAATTACTTCTTAGAAAACAGCTCAGACAGTGCCAAATCATTTAAAAATGATTTTTCTGAAAGAAAAAACTTACAGTGATGGACATTGTGGGAGTTGGGTGAGCATGGCTTTGGGATTTCGGAAGCACCTTAAATGGCTTCATCTTTATCATCAATAAGTAGTCTGGTCTGAAATTAGATGGGCGCCCACATTCCAGTACCCTCTGCAGAAAGGATAAGCCAGAAGTCAGAGCACACACTATACTGGGAATTGCAAACTAAATGGACAGGTGTTCACTGTGTCCTCTGGAGATCATGTTTATTACAAAAAGACTTGCAGGGGCTGTAAACCTAATGCCAGCGAGGCCCCGTATTTGCCAATTTTATTACTATGACTTAAAAAAGTTCAGGGAATTTTCACTGTGCCCCCAGTACCCCATACCAACTCACAACTCGCACATAAAACCAAATGCTTTCCTGTACAATTTATACCTCCTGAATTGCCTGACAGTTACTGTTAATTTCTGTGATGAGGGGAGGAGAGAATGGGAGACTCTCAAACAAAAACTGGATAAATTTTAGGAGGGGTTAGCAGAATGGAAGCTATTGCTATAATATTCAGAGAAAGAATAAAGCTGGACAGTGATTTAAGGGGACACATTTTCAGGAGAAGCAGCAGCTTGAAGACTAGGAAGCAGTTACAATTCCCTGAAACCTGTTGTTTTTTCCAGTTTTCTGTTTGAAATTGTGCAGGAGCTCTCTCTATCTTTTGGGGAGTTGCTGTGAAAAAAAAAATGCCAATGGGGATTTGGGTCTGAAAACCAAACAACTTGGAAAAATGTTTTCTACATTATGAACTTTACAGAGCTTTATTTTTGTTCCTCCAGAAGACTTAGAACAGCTCTGGTAAGTCAATTAATATTGTTGTCAAGGTGAATACTTATTCAGGTCAGTTATTCTAGAAGAAATAATCATCTAAAGATTACCGGTACCTATATTTCATGGAACAGTGCTGAATATAAGGATTTATGTATGTCCGAAATTCCAAATGGCCCTTTGTAAAAAAAACCACCATGGAGATATGTTGCCTTAGTATTGACAAAATGATACACATATATTACCACATAGTATAAATGTTTTAAACTCTCCCCAGGTTGAGAGAGAAATTATGCAGCAATTCAATATTAACAATCCTGCATTAAACAATCTATAGCCAGCAAATCTTCAAATTAGCCTAAGTTTTCACCACTGAGCCTATTACCAGTCTTGTGGGGAATGATTACAAATATAAATCTTCTCCTATTTTCCCCAAATGTTCTCCTGAGATGCTGAGTGCAGTGACATAAACTTTCAAAGAGTCAGGACCTATGGCTATTTCTCAGTCTAAGTGGAGTCAGCTAAAAACTGTCTTGTACTTGGATAAGTTGTTTTTAATTTCCACAGATGAGGGTTGTTCTGTAAATATTTTATATACATCAGTGTTGCTCCTCATGCACACAAACACAAAGATACCCACCTTAACCCTAAGTGGCCTCAGGCTGGCATCTCCAGCGCCCTGCTGGAACCCTCAGTCAAATGCTTCACAAGTATTTCCAACCTCTAGTGTCAAGATTTTTACTTCCTCACTACTGCATGCCTTTCTGCCATTCTTTCATAGTCCCTTGGGAGCACCCTTCCTGCTCCTGGTCCGACTAAACTACAGAAATTCTGAGAGGGTGGGGGCTGAAGAGGGGAGAGCCTGATTTCTTAGTCTTTGCATTACGTAGTTGCATGAATTTCTACCACTACCCTGATCTTACTCTTACACCGGTATATGGGATGAGAGATTTGTTTTAGTCTGGGGTCCATTTCCAACTTAAAGGAAAAAAATAATTTAAAAATAGTTTGGTTTAACAAAGGACCTTAAGATAGCAACACTTGAGTGCATTCACCTAATTTTGAAAAAAGAGGAGATTTCAAAGATTTGGGAACAAGATACAGAAAATTTCCTTTCGGTTTTGTTCCTTCTTGCTTTATTCACTGGCTCCCGTTAATGCATTTGAAAGCTTTTGGGGAAGGTGAAATGCTCAAAAAATTCCTTTACTTTTTATAATGCCCACCTTTTCCAGCAATTTTATGGGACTTTCACCAACAGGAAGACACAGCAATGGTTTGCGCGTGAATAGTGCGGTTTGACTGTAACGTCAAGAAGTTCTTGTGTAGGATCATCACTGCAGTTCTCTTATACACTACAAACAAAACCAAGATACGAAGATAAGGCTACGTCTAAGCATTAACCACCATGAAATGGAAAGAAAACTGTTTCTCCTTCCTGAGCTATCCTACTTTGTTCAACAACCCACCAAATCTCACTTGAGTTCAATTATACATAATAATAGGTGAAGGAGCCTCCCTGGCTTAGGGGTTAAGCTTCAGCACTATCACCACTGGGAAGTGAGATCTATCCCCGGCCAGGGAGCTTACCCACATGGCACAGCAGACTCCTCCTGTCTCAGCCACTGCTCCCCTTAGCAGTGTATTCAGTGAATCCACTTGTTCTGCTCCCCACTGTCTCTGGTGAATCCTTTCATGGCCTGCATCTCTGGCCTACATGCGTTACTCTGTGCATAAATAAATACATCTTTTAAAAAAAATAATAGGTGAAGTAAGCCTTACAGAATCAAAATTAAACCCCGATGCTGAATAAATGGTTCTCCCTACCTCTTTTCTCCTAAGCAAGTTATTGCGATAGTCGAATTGGGAAATGAAGACACGTGAAAAATATTGACTCCCATCAAACCATTTTTTCTGCTGAAAAACAATGTGATTAAAGTGCGAAGTAGAAAAGGCTGTTGAAAGGATTTGGGTGGAGCTCAGAATTTCTGTCTTGGCATTTGGCCTAACTGGCTGAAACCCTGTCAGGTTGACCCAGATGTGTTGGCTGCAAAATTTTGGGGCACTGGTAAGCATCTAAAGCAATTATTTGGTTCAGAATCTACTTGAACTTTCTAAACATCTGTAGGCATTTGATCCTTATAAGCATGTTCCATAGCACACAGTCATTCTACCATGGACAAAGCAAGCCCATTTAAATGGAACCTAACGTGTTCCATTTAGTTGGAAAGAAATGACAATTCTAAGATACTTATTACTCTTATAATTGTTTAACTACTAATGTTAACGATATCACAACACTTGGCAAATATCCACAGCAAATATCCACAGCTCAGAAGATAAAAAAAAATTTTTTCAGTTGAATGGACTGGTTGTAAACTGAGCTTCAGCTGAGAAAAAGTTGGAGTGCCTACATTTACATTCTTGTTCCAAAAACATAATATACAAATTTGCTATATCATCAGCTTCTTCCTACATTTCCATCTTTCAAAATGGAGCCTTGTTACTGAGTGTTCTCCCATCACCGATCTTAAAAATCTGCTTGCAAACACAAACACAAACACAAATTCTTTTCATTCTCTACCTCCTTAGTCCCCTACCTTAGCTGAAAAAGAAAATGGTTTCACTTTAGACTCAGAAGCTGATCTAAGGAGGCAATTAAAATTCTCTGTTTACAGACAACTACAGAAATGTGACATTATGAATAGCTTAGTTTCCTGAGTTAAGTGGACATAATGCCCTTTTCTTGCATTTATTTTGTTTCTCTCAACACCACAAACACTAGACATAAGTTTTATTTTCCTGCCTCTTTTCCAATAAGGGTGAAGTACATGCAACCAAATTGGAATCTCCCTTCGCTCACTAGTAGGAAAATCAGGAAGTTGGATTTAAAGTGCTCAGCTTGTTCTTGTGCTCCTTGGAAGAATTCCCAGGCTTTAAATTGACAGTGCAGCTGTTGACTGAAAAATATGCAGAAAGGTTAATGCATTCTCAAACTAATTTTCTGGCAGGCAAGTTAATTATAAAGGCTTATAAAATACTTGTTTAAATAGAAGTAATGCCCCTTTACATCCATAAGAAAATGATTTGGATGTAGAATCGAAAGCTGTATTTTATCTCAACTCTGTACTAAATGACAGGAGTGTCCTGTGATGACTGAATGCTTGGACAATGTAGGGTGACCGCCATCATTGAGCCAAAGTATGATCACATGCTTCGGAGTCAGAGGCCAGCTCCTCAAAGCAAGCCAGCTTTCCCAGGCAGAGACGGGAACAGGACACTGGCAGCTTCTGTCAACACCCACATGATATGTGAGAAAGGGTGAAACTTGTAGACACCTTTCAAAAACAAAGTAAATCTGCAACTTATCCACAAGTTAGGAAAAATAGAGAAAAGCAGTAAATAGAACTGTGTGCATGCAAAGAATAACTGAACTAGTTGGCAGAGCTGGCTTCTAGTATTAGCTCCCTCTAATTGACCTAACCCACTCTGAGTATGTCTAACCTCACTCAGGAGATGAGAGGAGGTTAGATATGACTCCATGGTCTTACACTTAAGACGTATTTCAGATTTTGAGGAAGGGAACTTATGTTACTCTGCTGGTACATTTAAATACCTATCACATAATCTTAATAAATAGTTGCTTAAATAGAGTGATATTGATGCTTAAAAAATTCTTGTCTTTTTAAGATTTATTTATTTATTTATTTATACAAGCACTGGGTACAGTCAAGAGCGTGGGAGGGTGAGAGAATTCACCAGAGCCAGAGCGGGGAGCAGAGCAGGCAGAAGGACTGAAGTACACTGCTGAGCGGAGCAGTGGGCGGCAGGAGAGGTCTGCGTGCCATGTGGGACCCTCCTCCGGTGGTCGGGGAGTAGCCGGGGATCGAACCGGCGCTGCAGAGGCTGCGGGCAGCTTCGCAACCCATTGCTCAACCTCTGCGTCACTGGGGAGGCCCCCCAAAAATTCTTAAGTCTTGATGAAAATTTTCACCCATCTAGCACTATCTAAAATGGGATTCAGATCAAGATATGCCAACCTATTCAAGACATAGTGTTGACCCTATGGTAAGTTTAAGAAACCTTGGGGGTTACTAAAAAAATTAAGGGACCACTTCAGAATTACTAGAAATTTCCCAATACAGATATACCTGCCTAAACTAAGAGCCACCTATAAGTTGTTATATTTTACTCAAAATTAGTGTATTACATATAGTCATCTGTCAATCTTGGTGTTGTACATAACCTTTCTAGACTTACACCAGACTTCTGTGCCATTAAATATTGTAATAATAGCAAGTATGATGTGTATTAAAAAAAAAAATCCCAATGTATATTTTTATAATCAATGGCAGATTTATCTAGATATATGTGGATAAATCCAGAATCTTAATGGACTTACTCCCACACAGCGATGGAAGATAGCAAATACCACATACGGAAGTAAAGGCAGTCTTAGTATTAGCTGAAAAGGGTTCCCCATCTATTCATAATAGCCAATTTACTATACCTTTTTTTCCCACTGAATTCACTAAAAAGCAAAGTTTTCAAAAAATCATGAATAAAAAGCCAAGAGATTGCAAGAGACTGCTGTTTTGGAGGTGAGATGTGATCATGTCAATAAGATAAGTGTGCAAAGTAAAATTTCTTAACTTTTTCATAATGTTCTTTCTATTGTACCATATGAATTGGTCTTGTCTCTATACTTGTCTTTCAAGAACTACATTCCTATACCAGAGTAAGTTATTTCAGGAATTTCTTTGTAAATATAATGTGACAAGAGCAAATTCTTGGGCAATTTCTCTTTAAAAAGTTTCTTTAGTACATTTTAAGTGTTCACATTTATACAATGAAACTTTTTAATAGAACATAATATTCTTGAAATGTCTGTTAAATTTGGCTAAAGCTCTTAGAAGACATTTTGCAGCATCCTACACACTGGATTCCATAACTCAGTTTAGTCTCCAGACACCCACTTGTAGCAGGGTCAGTAGAACAAAAAATTGTATTTATCAAAAACTGAGTTTCCTGTTTAAAGTAAGCACTATCCTTGATATTGTTTATGAAGAACTATTTAAGTCCCACATGGAATGCTACATTTGGTTTTTACTGAAACTACCAGTAAACTCCAATTTCATTCTGACTTAGGAAACCTCAGTGTTTTTGGCATGCGAAAGAGCCAGTCGCAGTTTGACCTTGCAGTGTGAAAGCTCTGTCCACCGCAGCGGCGGCTTCCAGGGAAGCTGCTGAGCAGCTGTCATGTTTCCCTGCAGAACAGGGTGTGACATTCCTTTGCTCGCCATGTTTATTAAACGGCACACTCCAACTCTCAGGGCGTGCAGTTGGCTGAAACCTTCAACCATTACCCTTTACTTCTGTGTACCCTTTACTACACAACTGAAATTTTTTTAATCCATTTTAATCTCTTAACAATAAACAAATGAAAACACACTATTTTATACTATTTGGGTCAAATTAATTTTATTATGCTCCATGATGAATTGCCACCAGTGCAACATCCTATTCACTATACATTTCAAAAAAAAAAAAAATAATTCACATACTAAACAAAATTTCAGTTGATAAATGGAAACGAATGATTGAAAGTCTTTATGAATCTCATACATACAATATGTGGCTAGCTGAAATTGTCTATCACATAGCATTTAGATATAAAAAGCCTCATGCTAGTTTGTTAAACGCGAAGGCTACTAGACAATCATTTAGCTGTAGTGTATTGTTGGAGGCTTTCGGACAATGCACAGGTACAGAGCTGCCCACAGTGCAGGTGGTAGAAGACTGAAACATGCAACCTTTACATCAAAGTGGATTTAGTCTTCATGCCGACTGAACTCCACAGCAGCTGCGTTTCAACCAATAGTAATTTAGACTTTGTGCAGCAACAACAAAATGTCTTTTTTTAAAAAAGGAATAAACTCAATTACTTTATACACATCTTACATGTTTAAAATCGTGTTTCCACCTCCAAGAATTGATATCATGTGCTCAGAGCAGCTTCTGATCATTATACTAAAGTTAGCTGGAAAACCCTGAATTGCTTGGCCAAAAGTTAAAAGATATCTTAAATTGGCAATACCTTTAAGACATTTCTAAGATAGAGGTTTTTTATAACGTTGAAAGGAAAAATAATGGAAAATGTCTAACGTTGTTTAAAATATTTATAATGTTCTATTTTACCATTTGCACAAATTCCTAACTTCATTAGTTAGTAGATGTCCAGCCTCATCCACACCAGACTCACTGAGCTGAAGCCACAACAAAAATGATAGTAAGCAGAAAAAGGTTTCCAGCAGCAGAGGGCACTGTTTTGCAAAAAAAACAAAAAGTCTAGAATCTTCCCCATGTGCTTAAATTACTCTTGCAAAGAAGGTAACATCTTTGAATAACTTAACTATTTTACTGCACCACTTACTGCTTTCAGCAACAAAACCTTTTAAATTATTTCTTATGATAACTAGATGCATGATCACTAGAGATTATGTGATAACTGGTTAAAATTCAAGCCACATCTTGCAGGTCCAGCCTGTCAAGATCATGCCAATACTAGATTTTGGTCGGTACAACAATTCTAGAGAGCTTAACTTTTAGTTGGATATTGTGACTACAGTAATGAAATACATTTGGAACTACATTCTGCTATGACTCAATGTGAGAAAAATATGTCTGTATTTAAATCAGATCATTTTTCTACCTAAAATTTAAAGTAGGTAGGTTTGATAATTAGGGCTATAAATATGAAACAACCACCTTCAGGCAGATTAGTGTATTGCAGAGAGGCAAGGAAACCCTAATTTTAATACATCATTTAGTATACATAACATATGTACAGGTTATAACATTTAATTATTTTTTTTTAAGTCTATCATTCAGTTATGTGTTCCAAGAAATTTGACATTGGGACAACCAATTTTTTAAGGAAAATGTGACCCCCTTCACCTGACATTTAACAAAAACCTTGAAAAATTATCAAAATTAAGAAATAATAGCATAACAGATAGTATATACTGTCTCCAACTAGATTAGACTTTTATGGTTGGTATTTCTGAATACCCCAATGAATACAAACTGTAAAATTAAAATACTTAACTTTGTACATTTATAATGTTCTGATTTTTATAGTGTTTTAACTAGTGATGTAACCACAATGTATAACCTCCTTCAATTCATGTAGAACGAAAATTACCCCCCTCAACTCAAACTTAATTAACTTTTTCAGTTCATTTCAGAATACTATCAAAACATTTTTCCTTTCATTTTTGCCATAAAGAGCTTGTCACAGTTACTATAGCATAAACATAATTTCAATCAAAAAAAAAAAAAAATGAAAGGCAGCTTTTTCCCCCTGTCCACTTGTGTCTATCTGTGCAAGCTTCCTCTTCTTTCTTTTCCCTTAATAAACTTGTCTTTTTAAAAAGTAAAAAAAGAAAAATTCAGTCAAGTACAGGTATGTAAGGGCTCCTTATAATTCCAGCCTCCAAATACCACTGCTGTCTAATACAGGCAATACTGCTGTAAGGTGTTACTGACTAGTCCCCAGTAGCATCTCCAAAGTGATTTTATGTAGAATATATTGCTAAAATTTATGGAACTGCATCAGTGTAGTGATGTCCAGAGAACTGTGCAATGTATCAGCTTCAACATTCATGTAGCATTGTGTTCAAAATGAAGGGGCTAAATAAACTACGGTTTGCATCACTTCAAAAAGAATGTAGTGCTATACTAGATTTTAATAAGAAAATTTAGGTACAGAAAAAGTAGGGTATGAAAATAGTGTCTTCCTTCTGGCATTATAACTAAATTACATTAAGGTTTTTGTCAGTCTCACACATAATATTTAAACTCCCTTGTTGATGGAATGGAAAATATTCACAAATTAAGTGAGCATCCTGGTGTAAACTTGCACACAATTAACAGGGAGTAGCTTTGTTATGAAAAACCTTTACAGATTAAATGAGGTATTGCACAGATTAATTAAAAAAAGCAAAAAAGGCAACAAAAATATACAGCAAATTGGTAGAACATTTACATGATAATTTTACAGAATCCATAGACAGAAAGTAGTGTTTAGTATTTCACCTTAAAAATATATATATAATATATAGATCAGTCTTCCCATTCATCATCATCCTCAAAATCTTCTTCATCATCTTCATCCTCATCTTCATCTATGAGAGAGTCATCAAGAGAAAGCAATGAAAACACATGTATAAATAAAATAACCATAATTCATGGGTGACAGCTCAATTATTCAATTTCTGAAACACAAAGCAGCTGAATCTTGGAGGAATCTAGTTACTTAAGTCAGTTTAAAATGAACCTAATACAGCTAAAGAGTACGATGGTGAGTTCAAGGTGAGTTCAAGATTAGAACAGGATCAGAAGGCTTGGGTTCTTGTCCTTAATATCTATGTAACAATTTTTAACCTGTGTGTTTCTTTATGTGTAAAATCACATCTGGGTTGGTGCCTCTGAATACTGGGCTCACATAAGGCAAAAAATCAAACTACCTTCTCCTATTCTTCACATGGATTCTCAAACTCCAAACTTAACTTTTTTTTTTTTTTAAGATTTTATTTATTTATTTATACAAGCACTGGGTACAGTCAGAAGTGCGAGAAAGTGAGAGAATTCACCAGAGCCAGAGCAGAGAACAGAACAGGCAGAATGACGAAACACGCTACTGAGGGGAGCAGCGGGTGGCAAGAGAGGTCTGCGCGCCATGTGGGACCTTCGCCCGGTGGCCAGGGATCCAATCGGCGATGCAGAGAGGCTGTGGGCAGCATCGCAACCCAGCGCTCAACCCCTCCGCCACCGGGGAGGCCCCAAACTTTTATCTCCTGTGCCAATATGCTTTTTTCTAATCCTGACAACCTCAGTGAGGCCCTCACAATTACTATTACCATTTTCTCATTGTTTAAGCCAAAAAACCTAGAAATTACTATTGATTGTTGTTTTTTCACCATCCCATTTCTAATCCATCATCTGCTCTTTCTCATCACTTCCACGCTACTCGCATACCACCATTGTATCTTACTTGGAATACTGAAACTCTACAGTCCCATTTGTTTCAGAGCAATGGGGTGACACCTAAATTCTAAGTTTTAAAAATACCATGTTTCTATCATTCTTACAATCTTTCAGTAATTGACCACTGTTATTGAATACAATCTATTACCTAACTCTATAAGAACGTGTAAGATTTTCCCAATTACAATCTTCCCCAAGCCTCTACCCAAACCCTCATAACATTGCCATCAATTCACGGTTTATAGTAACAACACCTTCCTTCTACCCCTCAAACATGCCAAGCTTCTATCTGCTTTACAACTTTTGCAGTAGCAATTCCATCTAGCAGAGCCTTCTCAACTTTTAGGGTCACTCAAAAATCATTTCCTCCAACAGACCTTTCCTAACCATCGTATGTAAAATATGAATGCCTCTCGTAACAGTAACCACTACCTAGAATTCTTGTTTTATTGTAGATTTACTGTCTTCACACTAGAATATGAGCTCTGGTACAGCAGAGATATTGCCTGTCTTATCGCTGAATCCTCAGCACCAGAACAGTGCTTCACAGAAGCTTCCAAATAAACACTTTAGTAAATGAAAAAAATATTTAGATGTGATCGAATTTTATGAACATACTTCTATACTATACCAACTTTCCATAACTACTAACCTTTAAAAAATATATACCTCATAAAAACTACAAAGATCAAGTTTGTACAGTGAGATAATAGCTGAGTAATCATACTTGGTAATGCTTCAGTAAAGAGTCAGTAAGAACTGGATATATGGACACAGAGGAACAGTGTACAGGACAATCTTTTTCCTCCTGTAACAGAGATTGTTTGAAGGCTTCTACAAAGAAATACTTGGAATTCTGGCTATCGGAACATGGAAATATACAAAAGTGAAAGAGGTACAAAGATATTTTCCCTTAGTCCCAAGCCAAATTTTCACTTTAATAATGACAACAATTTCAACAGTCTTCTCTTACCATCTCAAGCTTCTGCCATATTTCTCCACAGTTCAAAAATGTCCTCCTCCATGCCAGTCATTGTATTCATTCTGAGAGACACTGAACACGGATAGACGAGGAAGAAATTGTCCCTGCCCTCAAGTGTCCTGAGTGGTGTGGCGATACTACTTTTGCTCAAATAAATGCTGAATGTTCTCTGACACCCAACCAGGTTGAAAAGGTAGAGTAAGAAAATGTGTTATCAACACTATCAATTTAGGTAACCGTATTTTTCTTTTCCTTTTTTTTTTTTTAAAGAGGCATGTATTTTTATTTATTTAGTTATTTGTTCGTTTTGTTTGTTTGTACATGCACTGGGTACAGTCAGAAGCGCGGGAGGGTGAGAGAATTCACCAGAGCCAGAGCAGGGAGCAGAGCAGGCAGAAGGACCGAAGGACACTGCTGAGGGGAGCAGCGGGCGGCAGGAGAGGTCTGCGCGCCATGTGGGACCCTCCTCTGGTGGCCGGGGAGCAGCCGGAGATCGAACCGGTGCCGCAGAGGCTGCGGGCAGCTTCGCAACCCAGCGCTCAACCGCTGCGCCACCGGGGAGGCCCAGGTAACCGTATTTTTCTATAATTATTACTATTAATTGCTATGTCTTGATAGAACACTTGAGCACCAAACAGATTAGAATGTCATTCTAGAAGAAAATTTGGTTACTTACTGATTTGACTAATGCAAACTAAGAGAATGCTTTCAAGCTCCTGTTAATAACTGTCTTTAAAGAAAAGTAAAAAATTCAGCTCACATTGTTAGGATACCAATTCCAGTTTTAATTTCAGTGACAGGGAGAAACCTCTCTGGGACAAGGCCAAGGAAAAACCAGAGCAGGCCATCCCGATACAGCCTCCTTTGCTGTGCTTGATTCCTGGCTCTTGTTTGCCTGATTGCTCAGACATTCGCCCTAGATGGTCACCCAATCCTCCTTCAAATATTTCATCATTTGGCCCCTAAGATACTACGTTTTCTAGCCCTCAGGCCTTGTTACAACTCTTTTCTACATAAACCTACTTCTTCAGGATTTCATCCAGTTCTGTAACTTCTAATATTTTGGATATGTTAATGACATGCAAATTTACACTAACAACCCAGAATGCGCCTCTGAATTTCAGACTCATAACAAAATGCCTACTCAACACCTACATTTAAAATGTGTAACTATTTCAAATTTGAAAAGCATAAAACCAAACTCCTGATCTTTCCTCTCAAACCTGCTCCTCTACTCCTTCACTGAAGTTAATTAAAATTTCAACCTTTTAGTTGCTCTCAGGCCAAAAACTTTGGGGTCATCCTTACTCTTTTTTTTTTTTTTTCCCCTTCAAATCCTACTTCCCGCCTATCAGCAAACCCAATATGATCCTCACATTTAAAATATATATAGTAGCTAAGTTTTCATGGGTGTTACTAACCTGATTCAAACCTCCGTTTCTTGCTTGGATCATCGCCACTACTTTGGGAAGAATCTTCTACCCTTTCTACTCTTATCCTTGCACAATGACCTCATTGCTGTTCCAGTTTTAGGGACTTTGCACTGTCATTGTCACCTGAACACATCTTTGAGAGTTTTCGACACCGTTCACTCCATTCCTTCTGGTCTTTTCCCAAATGTCACCTCAGTTAGGCTTCATCACCCTATTTCAAAAACTCAGAGATCAGACAAACCTCTTGAATTTCTTGTTACAAGAATGCACAAGAATGAGATACAGGAATCTCAAGACTTGTTTCAAGATTCTTTGCCAGGTATTCTATTGGTATATCCTGGTATAAGAGACTGTTGTTTTCCTAAAGTTGTTCTTCTGATTTATAGTGATTACTAATTTTTGGTTATGGTGTCCAGACATCATTAAGCTTCTGACAGATTCATTACAGTGGAAACAACTTTTAAAAGTATACTCTAGGGCCTCCCCGGTAGCGCAGCAAGTTGAGCGCCATGCTGCAAAGGCTGTCCGCAGCCTCTGTAGTGCGGGTTCGATTCCCAGCCCACCAGGGAGAAACCCACATGGCGTGGCAGACCTCTCCTGTCTAGCCTGCTGCTCCCCTCAGCAGTGTCTTCGGTCCATCTGCCTGTTCTGCTCCCCACTCTGTCTCTGGTGAATTCTCTCACTCTTTGTTACCTCTGACCTGTACCCCAGTTCTTGTATAAATAAATAAATCTCTAAAAAAAAAAGTACACTCTAGAATCGATAAATGTTTCAATAGGATGGGGAAAGTGAGCAAAGAATGGGATAGAAAATAAAACCAGTAACAAACTTTATTAAATTTAGATATACATATGCAAATATACCTGAAGAATGAATGGCTTTGCTCCTTTTCTGCATCACTTCCATTAATGCACCCACAATTCCTGAAGTGGGTGCAGGTGTCGGTGGTGTAGATTCTTGGCCATCAGATACCTTGAAAAAGTAAGTCAGCAAAATTCAGAAATATATCACTAGAAAATTCTTCTTCTTTCTAGTAAGCTTTATTTTCTTAGAATTACTTATTTTGTAAGTAAAGGAAAATAAACAAGACAAGCAAGTCCAGGGCAGGGGCAACTTAATTAAGAAGAAATAAAGTGCTGTCTAAAGAGAGAACTATGAAAAATATAATTCCTCTCCTCCTTAATGTATACCGTTAGTATACTTCCAAATTTAGAATAACAATCAAATCCTTTCATGAATAATACTTGCCTGACAAATGAGTTTCATCTGTTCTTTTCAGTGCACAAAACCCTAGCTGGTGAAACGATACAGCTGTTCACACAGGACATTTTATTTTGTAAAGTTAAGGTAATATTTAAATTCCTCAAGTTGCTGGATGAGAAACACACTTACTATATAGTTAGGTGCAACTGAAAAGTTCTCCTAGAGAAACTCAGCTTTCCTAATAATTCAAAATGAACCTCCCTTCTCCTTAAGGACACAAGTTAGGAGGCTTTCAAAATGTGTCTACTACACCAAGCAACTAACTTACTTCTATCTACTACAAACTACATGGGGGAGGGGTAAGGAGAGGGGGTGCTGAGGCTATCAATATACAAGTTTCTCATTAAAATGTAAATTCAATACAAATTTATTCCTAATTCCAAGACTCCTAATTAACGAGAGAGAACATGGAAGTCCACAGACATTCAAGAAAAAAAATATTCAGAAAGTACCGTTCTAAGTAGACTAAGTTTTTAGACTGTAGATTAACTATTATTGGTATAGAAGCACAAAAATGAAGACAACACAAATGGTTTCTGAGCTTTGAATTTCAATATGAGGTTTTCAAAGATGTATAACAGCAGCAAGCAGAAATATTTAAACTCCCTTTAAGCAACGTGGTAACACAGCAGAGAGGACTGCAGGAGAACATCACTGTCATAATGAATCTTTTGAAGCACTTATTTGGACACAATACTATCTGAGGTTCTATGGACACGGAATTCAAAATGCATGTAAGTGAATACTTATGTATTTCCTGCCAGCACTTTAAAGTAAATCTGTGGTTTTATGTTAGTCACATTCATCACAGGAGAAATTGATGATTTACATAAAATATTTAAAGAAACAGAGATTTCAACTGTAGAGGGGTTTTTTTTTTTTAAATAAAGTAAAATTATGGACTCAGACCTCATGTGTAACACAAAGGTGATTTACTGGTTCTACGCTCTGACAAGTCTCTAATTACAACCAAAGGAAAATGATTATTTAAGATAAAAATGACCTATCATGCTAAATTTAGAATGAAAGACATTTTTCTCTCTAAAAGAAATTGAGATCAATTTACAGGGTTTGTTTTACTGGGGGGTGGGGAGGCTGAAGGGTTGGGAATAGGAAAAAGTGATGGGAGAGTAGTTAGGAAATACAACTCACCAACTTTTTAAATTAAGAAAAAGGACACAACTGAATTAATTAAATATAAAGCACCTTCTTATAAGCACTAAATGAGAGAAAAAGAAGTTGGCGGTGGAGGAGAGAGGAGAAACAGAAAAAAGAAACAAAAAGGCAGGTTGGGAATGGGAACCCTGCACGGTAGAGTGAAGCAGGAACAAGCACCGATTCTAAGGGAAGAGCTAAAATCAAGGGACCCCGTTAAACCTGCTGTTCTCCTAGGCTGTGGTCATTTTGGCACTAATTCTCCCTGCTAGTTATTTAAGTTCTTCAATTGCTCTTGAGAAAGCTTGGGAAAGAGGACAGGGTGTTTACTCACAGGCTGTCTAAGTGTCATCCCTAATGCATACCAAGAAAAAATTCAGATACATTTAAATACCCGAAATTTCTTAAGCCTATGATAAAAGTGTCCCTTTTGTAAAAGTATGGAAGAGGTATCTGTTATTTATATTTCCAGAAAGATGTACATGAATGCAAGCAGGTTAGGCTGAAGGGTAAGGGCCTACCACTGATGCATCGATGCAGGCTGTGGCCTATTTTATGTAACCTCAAAGCCAAGGATGATTTTCACATTTTTAAATGGTTGAAAGAAAATCAAAAGAGTGTTTGAGACAGTGAAAATTACATGAAATGCAATTTTCTGTAAATAAAACTCTATAGAACATAATCATTCCCATTCATTTATGTATTGTTGGTGGTTGCAGCTTTTGCCATGAGATAGCAGAGTTACACAGTGGCAAAAAAGGTCATGCGGCCTGCAAGCCTAAAATACTTACTATTTGGTCCTTAAATTCCCCCCCCCAACTCCTGTTCTTAAAGGTTAAATGATGACACCTCATCCAATTCAGAGAATACAAAATTATCTACCATCACTGTCAAAAATCTTTTTCAATTTTCGGTAGAGTCTGATTCTCTACTAGTAATTTCAGAACAGAAAAATTTAGAAAATGGTTTACTTTTCATAAAGTTACTGGTTTGAATTTACCAAAGTGATAACATTTGTTTTCAATTTTTTACTTCTCCATAGCTTAATAAAGATTTTTCTTTAAATTAGCTTTAATTTTAAAGGTAAAGCCTAGAACAATGAATTGCAAACATACTATAAAAAGTTCCATTTACATCAAGTTCTAGAACAGGCAAAACTACTCTACTGTGACAGAAATCAGATCAGTGATTCTTTCTGGGAGGGGGAATAAACAGGAAGAGGGATGAGGAAACTTTCTAGAGTAATTATTTTGATACAAAAATATGGTTACAATGGCACAGGTATAAATTTGTGCATTTTATGGCATATAAAAATACCAGAAATTCATAGTGAATACCACGAGAAAAAGTAAAAACTTTTCAGAGATGTCTTGTAGGTTACTTAAAAATTCTATGACAGATAGGCTAAAATGAAAAGAGATTACTTACAGATTTCAGCTGAATACCCTGTCGTATCTGGTCTAAAAGTGCATCCCTTCCAGAGCAGGACACCGGTCGACTGTTCTGTTCCACTTTTTTTAGCTGAGCACCCTCTCTAATTTGATCTAGAAGAGCTGCTTTGTTTCCTGCAGGAGCTGGAACTTGATGGTCACCATCAGAGGGGAGGCCGGGAGGCGGGGCGGCCCCGGGGAGGCGGGGCGGGGGCGGAGGGGGTGGTGCCGCTGACCCTGGCATTGACAAGGGTGGGGCGGGGGTGGAGGCCCTGCTGGTGCTGAGGAGGGAAGGGCTGGAGGTGGAGGAGGATACATCCTATTTGGCGGCAGTGGGGGGACGCCCACACCCGGCCTGGACGGAGGCGGCGGCGGAGGGGCAGCTGTGGGAGCTCGAGAAGGGGGTGGAGGAGGGGCGCCTCTCCCCCGGGCAGGAGGAGGGGGGGGCCCTGAGCTATGTGGGGGGGGAGGCGGGGGAGGTGGGCCCCCCCTGGACGGTGGTGGTGGAGGTGGTGCTGAAATAAAAACAGAAAAAAAAAAGCATGCTTCTTTCTTCCCCCACAAACATACTGAAAAAGCATCTCACTTCAACACGTGTGTGTGTGTGTGTGTGTGTGTGTATACATATAAACTAGGGGAAAAAAGAGGACTCATCTTTATTTTACAAAGATATATGAGCACAGATATCTTACAATCCTACTTGGGAATACTCAGCTTAAAGATCACTTTCCTGTTGTTTCTTGGGAAATTTTTGGTTAAACTGCAGAATTTGATTTTTAGGAATCAGCGCCACCTCCAGAGGCAGGGAATAAATGCTTAATTTAACAACAAAAATATAACCATAAAATCAAACATTTTGGTCAATAAGCATTACTTTACACATTAATAAAAACTAATGGATACCTTCCTTCTATAAAGAATCAAGTACAGTTTTTTTTTAATAAATTTACCTTCAGATTTAAATAGTATAATCTCACCTAATTTACACTTGTACTTTATAGTGTACTACATTTCTAAAATATATATAACATAAGATATATACATATATCTAGTATGCTAAAAATAATGTAACATTATATACACTATCACAAATAAATGTCCTATATTTCCAAAAGATGATCAGCAATTCTAATGATGGCATTAAGGGAGACTAATTGTTTCATTATATTTAGGAGACATTAAGTGATTTTAAACAAATTAACAGAATTAATATACTGCAAAATTAAAGTTATTAATAAAATATTATTTCAGTAGTATTGATATTTACATTCTCATTTTACTTAAGTAAAAATATGATAATAGGGAAATAAAATCTAAGTACAAATTTATTACATTTCTGGAGACATGATTTTACCAATAGTATAGAGAAACTGATAAAACAATGACTTCATTATTTCTCCACTCATTTAAAGACTGAAAAATTAACTATTTTTAGGAGACACCCTAAACTCCATAATAGCTATTTGTATTATTGATACAAACTTTAATATTTTATTGCTGGATATTTATACAATCTATACAAATAGACCTACTTTAATTACAAATAACAACAGGCTTATTGATGCTCAATAATTCAACACCAGACAGGAAAAAATATCCCTCACTTTGATTCAATCACTGGAAACATTAGAAAGATGCAGAAAGGCCAACACAGGCATTGTGTTTTGGCATACAAACTTTAAAATTGGAAATAATATATAGAAATAAACAAAAGCATGAATCCTGTTAGAGATAGGTTAACTCAAAGGGGAAGCTCCTATGATTTACACAAGACATACTGGAGATCTGGATGTTGCAGCTAAGGTAATTTTTTTTTTTACCAGATCCAAAATAAGGAGACTTAAACGTCTTAAAAGCAAGGTCTTTTTTTTTTTTATAAAAAAACATATTTTATAATAAAAAGGTAAAACACAGAGGATAGGGCACATATATACTGTGTATAATCCCTGAATAGGACAAAACTTAATTTTAATCAGCTTTAGGTTTTTACTTCAAATAGGAATACTTATCTAAACTGGCATTTTTATGCCAGTTGTTTGTTAAGAGGAAAAAGATCCATCATATTCTACTACATTAGTCAACCATGGTTTTACTGAGGACTCTAGATCCATAATCTTATATGCAAAATGATAAATTTCTCAGTAGATAGAATTAAAGTTCTTTTGAACTTGCAATGAGTATATTTATTAGTATAATTTGGGGTCTAGCTAATATTCATTTAAGTAGACAGTTGCTGTGGCTCAGGGGAAGGGTGAGCCTAAATTCACAGTGAATAAATTATCATCTGCATCCAGTTTGGGTATGACAGATTTCAGCATTTACATTATCTTTGAAAAGTGATTATAAACTTCTCTATTATATTCATTAGAAGAACATCTATTACCAATTCTCTTTTTAGTCTCTAATATGTTGATATGAAAAGAAAAGCATGCAAAAGACATGCCATATCCCAAAGCAAAATGTGAAGGGACTAAAAACAAAGAGGAAAGGACAGATGGTGCAGTGTTAGTCAGGTTTACATGCACAAAGAAAACCTCCTAAGCAGACACCACATACACCACTCTAAGAAAATCTGATGGCCTATAGATTTTCAAAATTGTAAGTCACCACAAACACCAGTATCACAATGACAGTATGTCTGAAATTTTTTCAAAAAGAAAAAAAATTAATAAGCATGAAACAAAAGCTGTAACAAATAAAAGCTGATTTTACTATAAATGCTTAGTTACAAAGAAAGATGAGGTTTACAGAAAAACTTGTCTTGATGTACACTATAAAGTTCAATGTACTTAAAAATAAGGATTATTTCAGATCAATATTAAGAGTAATTGGTAGATTACTCTAGATATTTCATTATAAGAAGTATAACCAGAAATTATAAAATAACACTTGAAATGTATTATAAAATTAAGCAAACATTAAAGCACTTTCATGTACTCTAATAAAACAGAAAAGTGCTATTCAACACAAATTTAAATTTAATGGAATTCTGACAATTCTTTGAGTTATAGAACAGAAGGTTTATAGTCTTCCCTCCTAATCCCAATGTAATATAAAAATGTAAGTACATTTTATATAAGTTACTGAAATAATAACAAGCATAACAAGCACTAAAAGTAATAATAAAAACAGTGGTGCTGGAAGAGAGGTGTTGTTTTTCAAAACGCCACGGAATTTCGATCAAATTATCTAAGTTATAAATGAAATATGAGCTCTAACTCATAAAGAAATAAATTTTCTTTTTACTTTGGTATCTTATGCCCAAAACACTGGTTTAAATTGAGGGCAGAAAAACTAGCTGGATGTTAGATTTGGAGGTATGATAAATGAACTCTAGCTTCTTTCAAAATAAACACATCACAGCATGCATAATTTAGGACACTGGGTCAAATAATATCCCACATACATACCACTCCACTGTGGTGGACCTACAGAGCAGATTATTAGGAGTTAATGGATTTAAAAAATTGCAAAGACACACAAAAAGAAAAACAATGGAAATCACAAGCCTACCACTTTATATAACCTGATTACATGATTGTGTAAAATAAGTTTTAAGATATTCATTCAGGTTTTACAAAATGTATTTTTAAGACAACTTCATAAACTTCTCCCCTTCTAATTTTTTTTCATACTTCTAAAAAATGTTCTTCCTAGAAAACATTTCCTTAATAAACTACCACATCTCTCACTCTTCCTTTTAAAAAAATGTATCTTCTATAAAATCCTTCTTTGGTATCTAGTAAGGCTCTGCAACAGCAGTCAGGTTCTTGAGTATGACAAGAAAATAACATTGTTCTCAAAGCATGTTTTTCAATGACTACGTTTGTGTTTTCTTTTGTTTGTTTTAGGTAATCCGACAAGGAAAGACATGCCTATCTTGATGCTTTTAAAACAGTTAAAGTAAAAATCAATAATAAAGTTTAAAAAACAGGCCCAAATTAATGTGGTCATCTCTTAATTACAGGTAGTTCAGGTGAGAGAGCAGTAGTAAGGACAGTCTAATAACTGCCAAGAGTAATTTATAAACTTATAAATTCAGAGAGCTCAGAAAGACCGAGCCTTCCAGAAGGTGACAGTGGGTGTTAACAGCACAGAAAGCAAGGAATACAGAGCGTCCTCAGGACCTTCTATCACCTGCATTTGAACAGTAACTCTGACCTACTCCCTGAGAGCATTTAAAAGTGTCTTGTGCCCAAGATGTTTTTATTAAAAATCCCTAGAAGAAATTTGGAAATTTTCTTATTTTTTCAAAAAATTAGTAACACACTGTATTTAGTTAAATGAGTACATGTTTCCACAACAGCAATTGTGACCACCTAATGATTTACATAATCTGTTTCCACACCAGATTATAAGATTTCTGAGGGCAGAAACCATATCCTTTTATTAAACATCCTAAATAAAGATGAGTGCTGGGATAATGTTTACTGAATGTAAGAATAAATGAATGAATTAGGGACTAAATAAACATCAGCAGTGAAAAAGACACATGGAAGTCAAACACTTAATTTAAAAAGACAGTTAAAAAGAATGTTTTAATTTTTTGCTTTGCTATACTGAGCATGTAAAAACTAGGAAGAAGAAAAGCAGCCCCAAATGACTGAAATGGTTAATACATGACTGTCTTATTGGAAAATTTAAGGTTACTATATTTGTATTTTATTGTGATAATGATTAAGACATAACTACAATACAAGGTACTTTAAGTAAAGTATCAGATCTTAAGCTGCAAGCTGTTTATTTATGCTCTTAGTTACCAAATGACAAATTTTATACTTAAGTCAGGAAAAAATATTTGTAATTCAAAATACAATACCATTTACATTCTGAAATTGTGTATTACTGATTAAATAATGATTATATTTAAGTGACTACTTACTAATAATAACTTGAAAGATAGCTTTTAAGATTCATTAAGTAAAATATTAGGCAGCTAAAATTTTTTTCTTCTAAAATAGAATCACCAGACTCTGTATGGATTTTCATGAACTAAATATAAGATATTTTGTTAATATGCAAAACATTGTCAAATTATAGCAAAATAACATAAAAACAGTATACTTGGCCAAACTAGCTATCTATAAATTCAAACAAGGTTCACATGAATGTGTATACAACTTCTTCCATGAAAGTGACCTCAAAAAATACAAAAGAAAAAGTGGATCAAAATGCCTAAATAAAAATAAAAGTTACCTTGCCTTCGCAGTTCATTTTTAACAGCTTCAACACCTCCTGTTTTTTCAATGAAGTCATATATAACTTTTGATGTTTCTCTGTCCTTAAGTTGTGCCTCTGAGATTCCACACATATCAAAAAGATTCTTCAATTCTGGATCCAAATTATTCAGCTATAACAGATAAAAAAAATGCTAACTATAAAATCTACCCCAATTTTTAAAATTGAGCATAATGAAATTTAAATGCTAAACTTGCTTATAAAAAACAAAACAGAGGGGCCTCCCCTGGTGGCACAGCGGTTGAGCGCTGGGCTGCAAAGCTGCCCGTAGCCTCTGCAGTGCTGGTTTGATCCCCGGCTGCTGGCGAGGGTCCCACATGGCGCCCTCAGCAGTGTATTTCGTCAGTCTGCCTGTTCTACTCCCTGCTCTGGCTCTGGTGAATTCTCTCACCCTCCTGTGCTTCTGACTGTACCCAATGCTTGTATAAATAAATCAATTAATCTTAAAAAAAAAAAAAAACACACAACAGATAAGAACAAAGAATAGATTTTATATTTTACCTATTATCTTTTTGTTTCCCATATTCAAAAAAGAGGTTATCTATTTCATTTAAATTTTTTTTTACTAAGTCATTCATGATTCAGATAGCTCGAAGGTTCATTTAGTTTACTTGTCCAAAATAAGATTTAGATGTAATCACTAACAACAAAAATAGGTAAAACAAAATTTGAATATTGCCAGATTTTTAAAAAAATCTTTTTTTTTTTAAAGATTTATTTATTTTTATACAAGAACTGGGGTACAGGCCAGAGTTGCAGGATGGTGAGAGGATTCACCAGAGACAGAGCGGGGAGCAGAACAGGCAAACGGACCGGAAAGCACTGCTGAGGAGAGCAGTGGGCGAGACAGGAGAGGGTCTGCTGTGCCATGTGGGTATTTCCCTGGCCGGTAAAAACTGAACCTGCACTGCAGAGGCTGTAGACAGCTTCATAGTGCTGCGCTCAACCAGCTGTGCCATGGGGGAGGCCCACTAATATCTATATAACCCCAACCATCCTGTAGAATGTCCAACACAAAAATGTACTAGATAAAATATTTGTGGAATACGTAGGTTTAACAAAATAACCAAAAAGATTTTTGACATCACAAATATTTCTCTTCAAAATAATTTTTCAAAACTCTGATTACCTGTCAAATGTGAAATAGATTATTTTGGTAACCAAAATAGAGATATGTTGAAAACACTAATTTTTACCAGCCGTTTTACCTACCTTGTCCATAGTACTACAAATTAATGAATGATGAACTTGCCATAAAAAACAGTAAAATAAAAAGACCAAGACAATTTAACAATTGCATATTCAGAATTTGATTATTTTCCAATAATTCGGCACATTTCCCCTGAAATGATCACTTATCAAAAATAATTTTCTTCTCTTAGCTTTTAAAACATAAATATTTTACTTACACCATATGTAAAATCAAAATCTTTGTCTTTAAAGACTTAGCCATGAAGGAAAGAAAATTATATTTTCAAAACTTAGTGGTATGTTTAAATAAATACAAACTGTGAAAATACATTCACATACACACTGAAATTCAAAAAATGAACAATTAATATAAAAACCCACAAATCTCCATAAAATTCCCACATAGACTAATAATGTTTATGGCCTGAAAAGACACTTACATCAAAGCCAGTATTTGGATCCCAACCAACATGTCCAATGTGCCTAAAGTAGAAGGCAGAAGAATTAAAAAATAAAAAGCATAAGTAGCATTAAAAACATAATATATATGAAATCTAATCCATTCATTGAGTATTTGTCTGAACTAATAGTTCTCATAAACAGGCACCCAGAAGATGACAATTCTTTTCATCTTTCTTCTAAATATTAACATTTTTGTACAATCATTCTAAGCATCCATTTCCTTAATTGTCGAGCAGTATAAAAATGCAAGCATTTATAAATAAGAGAGGACAGGAGTTTTATAATGAGCTAATGAAATAAAGCATACAAAAATGTTTGAACTATGTCATATAAGAGCCAAAGGACCGATGCCAGCTACAGACTGAATATTTATGTTCCATGAAAATTCTGTGTTGAAACCCAATCCCCAGTGTGATGGTATTTAAAAATGAAGTCTTTGGGAAGTGACCAGGTGATAAGGGTAGTTCCTTCATGAATGGGATTGGTGTCCATTCATGTCCCAGAGAATTTCCTTGCCCTCTTCCAAGACTCACCAGTGCTTTGATCTTAGACTTTCCAACTTCCAGAACTGTGAGAAATAAATTTCTGTTCTCTACAAGTCACCCATTCTATGGTACACTGCACTATAGTCCAAATGGAGTAGAACAATGCTTTTAGGCAATTTCCAAATATCATTCATAGAGAAAAGTGACAAATCGTCTTATGCCCAAGAAATAACTATTATTTCCTAAGAAATAACTTTATCTGATTTTTCTTTTCTGATGGGTGAAAAGGTAAATAAGCTAAGATTCATGGAAAATCTAATGAGCAGTAACAATGAAAGTACTCTCTTACTGGAAATTGCTTGGTGTTCCAATATCTGCCTTGGTTAATCTCTTCTTTTTAGTTTTTCCTTTTTTCTTTTCTTTGGTATGGGAGATGTTATTGACTTGTGGACCATAAAATCTATTTGTTGTGATTTCTGGATTTTTAATATCAACTGTTGCCATTGGTAGACTAGGACCTGCAAGTAAAGTTAAAATAATGTGAAAGCAAAATAATTTAAGATTGTTATTACTATAAGATAGTTATCTTATAATTTATGATTTGAGTATCTTCTGAAGTAGAACCACTTCATTACTGTAGTTTAAATTTGAATGCTAATTAAAAAAAATGGAAAAAGTACTGTCTGATTTTCAAAAACCTATTAATAAATTCTTAAATACATTAGCATAGATAATTTCAAAGCAAACTAGTGTTTTTATAACATTTAATCTTATGAAGAATATGAATTTTCGACAAGAACTTAATTGGCTTGATCCCTTAAGTTTTGATTATAATAGCCTCATATCTAACACACTACTCTTTGGTAATGTGGTATCTATCATAAAACAACAGCAAAAGAAAACAGTCACCTACTTTGTTTTATTACTAACAAAGTAATCTAGTTTTAACATTGTTCAAATTAAGCAGTACATTTAGGAAAAATGTACTTATGTTATTATCACTATTGTTTTTCCCCCAAACTGCCATATTTAAGTCCTGTAATATTTTCCTCATCAGTATACATACACTTTGACCAGCAGAAGTAGAGATACCAAAAACTTAAGATGGAGAAAACTTGCAAAATACTCATCTTCCACAGGATCAATATTAACAATACATATGGCACCTTCAGACATTATTAATAGCATCTTCAAGAGTGACACTAAATGCAGTACCTGCTTTATAATTCATATAAATATTTTTGATCTTAAAAAGCATGAGTCTGAATGAAATCTATTCAACTTAAAAATTTCTTAAAATTAATCTAAAGAGAAATGCATATTTCTTAGAGATTCCATTTTAATAACTATATCTCTGACAAAACCTTCTATTAGATCAAGTTCTTCTAACACAATTAATGACAACTTTCAAAATACTATAAAATCATCACTGTGCAGAAAAACATCAGGCCTAAGACTACTATTTCTAGAAAAGCCTGCTTGCAAGTTGGTCCTTACTGACAATCAGAGAACGTGGATTTCTAGAATGTTCCCTTCATGCTCTAATGTGAGGTTCAATATGCCTAAACTGTACTAACAGGACAGTTTATGCTCAATGACAGTTTTTCTTCTGAGAGTTTAGTCACTTGGTATGTGCTGGACAGGGAATGCCTTTGTGATTTGCCCCTAATAAACTGGGCAATGAGTCCCTAATGAGCTTCTCCTTAAGACAACATTTCACATGTGTTGTCACAATTCATTACTGGGAATTAAGCACATTCCTTGTGACTCCTATGAGACAAGACTCCTAGAAGTTTGTGTGTGGTTTCTCTTAGACTTAACCTTTTGTACATTTCCCTTTGTTGATTATTTTATATTCTTATATTGTAATAAATCTTTGCCATAAGTGCCACTATATGTTTGGTCCTTTAAGTCTTTTCATCAAATGACCACCTGACAGGGTGTGGTCTTGGGGACCCCAACACAATCACAGAAAGGCAAAAAGGAGCCCCAAGAAAGTATAGACTACTGTATATTAAGTGATTACTAAATAACATTTTGATGATAATTCTTCAAATTGCTGAAAATCTCAAATGTATCCTATTCATTAAAGTTTTCTAAAAGAAAATTATTTATGTATACAGGCAAATTATACATAACCCATTTTCTCTTGCTCAAGTCCACTATTAAAGATAAAATAGAGCTAAATCATGAAAGCCATCTGCCACCCTGTTGGACAAGCAAGCAATTTGGAAAGATACATATTTTTAATATCTCCAAAATTCAGCTATTTTCCCACACTAATATGTCTGTATAATATATAAATGTCTAAAAGTTTATTAATAATGTCATGCAAAAATTCCATGGGAAACTGTTCACACTGGCAAAAAACAAGTTCTTTTTGGGAAAAAAAAGAAACTAGTAAATAATAGGGGTAAGATCATTACATACTTATTCAGTGTCATGAGATACTCTGAAAATAATCTGATCAAGAATTAAAGGTCAGTTAAGTAATACACAAAACTTAATAGTAGATAAAGACTTAGATTTTCAAATCTTTTCAGATTTCAGCATTTGCTGTACTTTCACAATTATAAGGAACTTATTGAGACTACCTAGACTTCTGAATTGGGATCATACCCGTATTTTCATAGATTTACCTAGTAATCTGCTTCTAGTTCTTCTTCTTCCCTTTCTGCCCTCTTTTACAATTTATCTTTACCAATCAGCCACACCATTCACAATAAGATGGAGGGAATTACAATTTACTCTTATGTTAATACTTAATAGAATTAAGAAATGATGTACAGATTTGGGAGCAACAGATTTAAGGATTCTATACATACCACCATTCTGAAATAGGTGTCTAAAAGCAATTAAAAAAGCAGCAACCAAATTCACCATTAAAAATAATTTAAAAATAATTAACAACTACAATGAGATTTTAGGAAGAAACAAAAATATTCTTACGCTACTGTAGCTTACATAAAAGCAATCTCATACTAAGGATGTTCTAAATGGTTGTAGAATTGGGTAAAGTTATGTTTACTAGTTCAAATTATTCAAGTTAGTGAATTCTTTTCTGAGAAACAAAGCTAAGGTTCTTATATGCTTGATTCATAATACACTAGAGAAAATACCCAGTCATCTCTGAAGAATATTCAAGAATGAAGAGACAAGAACAAAATTTACGTCTATATAGGAAAAATCCAGATTTTAAAGATATATAGAAAAAATGCATTAGAATGGAAATTAGAGAATTTTTCTAAGTCTTTCATTTTACAGATGAAAACTAAGGGCAAAAAGGGTCAGGTGACCTGCCTAGAGTCATATAGTTAGTGACAAAGGCAAAGGTGAACTCTGATATCTTCATTCCAAGCCTACTATCTAAGTAAATATTACAATTTTTACACAAAAGTCAAACCATAAGGTGATTGAGAATGTTAATTTTACAAATATTATCATATGTAATTGGTCTTTAGACCAAGAATTACCAAATCTTACAATCTGTTTATCATTCAATAAATATTAGTAACTTTCCAAAATTAGGCAAAAGGTTTTAACACATTCAAGAGATTAGACACTTGGTTATTTATATTGAAAATAGTCATTTACTTCAGCGTTTAAGCAATAAGTTTAGGAAATATGCTGAAATCCATGTTCTAACGTCCAATTAAAAGTTTGTTTCAAAAGTGACACTAATAAAAGGATAAGCTGTATAAAGAGCAGACTCGGTTTAATAAAGTTAAGTTTGTGGAAGATATCATAGCAGATATACTCTCAATTAATTTCTAATACAGTTTAATTATTCCATTTGTGAAATTACACTCATCCTAAGAACGTGTATTAAAATACAAAATGGAGACGGCTGTTTACCTTTTTTTTAAAAAAAGAACAGTCAAATAACAAATTACTTTCTTCTGATCACTGTTACTGAAGTTTTTATATTCTCAATGAATAGCATTTCTAATTAATTTTAAAGCTGAGGGAACAAACTAAAGTCTTCCCCTTAATTACATAAAAAGCAGAGAACTCTCACCAAGGTAAAACAGTTGAGAAACAGGTGGCCCAGAGGCCTCTGATGTCATTCAGTCATGAAGCTGAGAACAAATCATTGGAAAGCATCTAAACTAAAAGGTGAGACTGACCAATAAAGAAAAAAGAAAGATGTAGGAATTAGGAGTTAGTGAGGAAGATACTGAATTGCATTTCAGGAATATGTCACTTTACATAATGTGACTTTTTAATAGTTACACTTTGAAAAGGTCCGCTGAACTGACGATCTAAGCAAGGATCTGAGGCAAAGCACCTGCATGGACACTGCAAGGTGGTTAAGGTGTCCATTGCCACCTAGTGGTCATGCACCAAATATGGAAAAGTAACAGTGTCAGCTCCTAAACAGCAGTAGCCACACAAGACAACCCAATGCTCAGCAGGAAAAAAAATCAGACTTTTATTATTATTTCATTCTTCATTATGTATGTAATATATAAATACCACATTATATATATTTTATAAATAAGTAAATAAGAATACAAATTGTTGGCAATACATGCTATCTAATTTTGCCCTTATTTAAGGATACTATTTTCAACTCTCCATAAAGTTGGGACCACTCCACCAAATGGTTAAAACTACAGATCTAATTCAAAAGCAATCTCAAAGAAAGCACTAGATTAAAATCATGAGTATTTCCCTCAGTAGGATAATAAAACAGTGAGATACCAATATCACTTAAAGAATATCCACATTCTATTTATTCATGGATTAGATGTCTCTTCAGAAAAACATTCTATACGTACTTAAAATATTAAATTAAAAAGTATCTACCATCAACTTGAATTATATCATTATTTGTACAACATTACACTTAAAACCTTAAATTATTTTCTTCAAAGATGCCATCACTGGGAAGCCTTCCCCACAACACTCCACATATGCTCACCAAGTGCAAAATAATTTAATAAATTCAAAGAGATTAACATACTGAGCACACATCAAGGAGAAAAATCCTAACACCACATTAAAAGTTCACAGATGATTGACTTCTAAATTACCTCTGCTTTCTTTGCCTCTGCCACATACATATTAACTGTGTAAACTGAGACATCCTACTCTCCCTAGGTCTGTACTTCATCAAAATCACCGACATAGCAAGTTGTGAAGGAGCCAAACTCCGGAGTTAAGACAGCCTGAGCCTAAATCCTGTTCCACCCTTACTAGTTATGTGGCCTTGAGCAAGTTTTACATCATTGTGTCCCAGTTTGTGCATCATAAGTTGGGGATAATAGCAGCTACTTCATAAGCACACTTCACTGTTGCTGTACAGTGCCTGGTAGATAGTAAATCATCCTTAAGTAGCAGCTGCTATCATTGTCATTGTTTTCTTGATAACTAATATTAAGTAGTAGATAAGCACTTTAGTTACTTCATTTAATTTCTGTAACAGCCTATAAAGTATTAAGGTTTCCATTTAAAAGTACTGTAAGTACTACTGATGGTAGACTTTAGTCTTTTAATCATAAAGTAAATAAATCAAAATTTAATAAAGCAATATTTGGTTCATGCTTTTATATCAAGAAAACAAATTTATTTATTTTTTTTTTTTTATTTTTAGATGTATTTATTTATTTATACAAGAACTGGGTACAGTCAGAAGCGCGGGAGGGTGAGGGAGCTCACCAGAGCCAGAGCGGGGAGCAGAACAGGCAGACTGAGGTACACTGCTGAGGGAGCAGCGGGCGGCAGGGGAGGTCTGCACGCCATGTGGGACCCTCCTCCAGTGGCCGGGGAGCAGCCGGGAATCGAACCAGCACTGCAGAGGCTGCGGGCAGCCTCGCAACCCAGCGCTCAGCCGCTGCGCCACCGGGAGGCCAAGAAAACAAATTTAAAGGCAAAATCAGAAGGTAACAGATCTGTTTAAAAAGCAACAGGAATATAGTTATTTCCATGTAATAAAGGGTCCTGGGGCAATGGGTCAGGGATAGTATTAAAATACGAGGAAAGCCATGGATCCTCTCTCCACAGAGAAAAGAATAAAACCACTTACACCTTTAAAATGAATGAATCTATAAATACTTCTAATGTCCATTATGAAGTCACAGAGGACTACGTACTACTACTATTAATTCTAAACATACTATCATAGTAAGTGTTTCATTCTGAAAAGGGCTGGTTTCATATCACCGGTGTGAAATCTGAAGTAAGGAAAAAAATTAATTCTTAAAGTAGTAAATGAACAAATACACTAGATACAAGTTATCACCTTTAAGGAAGACATTAAAACCAGACTGTATAATTTCTAAATTTAATCAATTGTGAATACAGAATTAAAATATAAGTAATGGTAATCTTCATCATATGTACTCTCTCTAGAAATAAGTTAAAGTCTATTACATTTCTAAGCCTCACCTATCATGTTATTTTAAAAAACAATAAACTATGGTACTTGATGATAGATATTACATATTAGATATTATAATTAAATTATAATCCAAAGTCTTTTTGATCAATAATTATCAAAGAGCTTACCATTGGGGGGGTCTCGTCTTTTCTCTGTTAGAAAACAAATTCAAAGAAATATTGTTAGATATATATAATACAGTGACCAACATAAAAATTAATTCACTTAAACTATCTAATTTCTAAGTTTATGGTCAGGTGGTTACAGAAGGTTTCTCTGAGAAACTGACATCTGAACAGATACCTGAAAAAAATGAGAGAGAACAACGTATTCAAAGGTTCCACGGAGAAAACTGAAGGGCCATCATGAAGACTAGACTGGACTGAGTTAAAGGCAGAGCAGAAGGAGGTAAGTCAGGAGAACCAGGAACTGGGTCATACAGAGTTCCACAAGCAGTATTTAAGCAATACAGATTGCAGTCCATACATAACAGGAAGTTCTTAAAGAGTTCTGAATAGGGCAAGTGATATGATCTGAATGAACTACATTCTGAAAGTTAATTCCAGCTTCTATGCGGGAAAGCAACAGCAGGGTGCACAGAGTGCATAAGGGAGACAGGGAGTTAGTGTAGTTCAGACAGTAGCCTGATTAGGGCAGTAGCAGCAGAGCTGGCAAGAAATAGATTAAGGACATGTTTTTGAAGGCAGAGACAATGGGACTCACTAAGAGAACTTTTGAGGGACCACAGTGAGCCGAAGTATCAAGGTGGAACTGAGGTGGGAAGTATCAAGGCCTTTCACTGAGGTGGGAAGAACAAGTAGAGAACAGTATGACTAGGGTTAGGGAACATGGATCAAGTATTCTGCTCAGGTAGATTAAGTTTGAAAGCAATTTTGATATTGGATGGGAGTAAACAGTTTGACAATCAGGGAGAAGTCAGTAGCAGAGACAAGAAAGTTTTAGGAGAAATCACAGCTACAGAACCAAATGAAAGCACAAAGGCAGAAAGGTAATGAGAATACCCACAGACATCTGAGAAAAGGGACACACCAAAAAGTCTTAACCATTTAGCTTGAGTAAAATCTGGAAAATTTCTACCAATTCATTGCATTCATGCTCTTACATATAGTTTTGGGTTTGAGAATATTCAACAATTATTGAAGAATTTTAAAAAAGTGTTACTTGGGGCCTCCCTGGTGGCGCAAGGGGTTAAGTGTCTGCACTTTGAAGTTATCTGCAAATACTGCAGCACGAGTTCAATCGCTGGTCAGGGAGGTGACCCACACAGTGCAGCAGACCTCTCCTGTATCTCCTGCTGCTCCCCTCAGCAGTGTTATTTCAGTAGATCCACCGGTTCCGCTCCCCACTCTGTCTCTGGTGAATCCTCTCACCCCCACCCTCCATACACCTCTGACCTATATACCCCATTTCTTGCATGCATAAATCTTTAAAAACAAGTGTTACTTTCACAGATTTTCTAATACAAAAATTTCTAAAACTGTAAGAAAAATACCCATAAATGATTATATAGTAATTGGTTATAAAATTATGAACTAAAATTAATAACATTTGATTGGGGGATGTTAAAAATCCTGACAATGAGACGTGTAAATGGATCACTCCATCTGGTGGTCTAATAAAGTAACTTTCTAAACATCTGAGATATCTAAGTCCTACCCATGTCAATCTCCAAGGTGACATTATCTCTGCCTCCAGAGAGGAAATACTTCCTAAACTGTTGATGGTACAGATAGAGAAATGATATTGAGATAAATGTAAAGCTCAGAGTACAAGTTCTAAAAAGTATTTATGAAATATGATACCCTCTTGCCTTGACGACCATACAGGTGAAAAAATGAAGGGTCTGACTGAACAAAAAATAGAGCAAACAGTATAAAGTACTTGCTACAAACATTTGCAGAACAATGTTTAATCAAATCAAGGAATGTTTTAGTACCTCATTACTAGTCAGACTATTTTTGGAGTATAGTATTAAAAAATCTAGAACTCACATTTAAATTCTGGACCATTTCCTTAAATCTGAACCATTTGAAAAAGATGTAAAAATCTGCAGCAGAATGAGTCTAATATTCAGACTAATGAGGGCAGAAACTATATTATGTGAAGAAAAGAAACTAGTACTGATCAGCATAAAGAGGTGGAAGTATAAGAAGGACAAGATGGACTACTTTCAAGATTAAGTGGCTGTTGGGAGAAAAAGAAAAGAGACTAATTATTTGTTACTCCCCAAATTGGACCCCGTGCATCTCAGTTAAAGAGAGGCAAGGCTGGAGATTGACTAAGTATATAAGGTCATCCAAGGATGAATCAACTGCCTCTCTAGCTTTGTGATCCTTCTGCTTTCAAACACTTTATCTAAAAGCCTAGGAACTACATAATACAGAATTCTTTTACTAAGTCAAAGACTTAGTACCAATTTAAATGATGTACCAATTTCAAAGTCAATCATTCTATATTTTAAAAAGATTTTTAAAATTCTTTAATACTGAAAATATCACATATTATGATGAGAAGGAGCCCCAGAGAGCCTCTGGCCTAGCACTGTAACATGTCACTGGAACTGGAACTGAACAGTAAATCACTCTATAGCACCAATCTTTTCCTAGCATGGGGTCAAGTGGCAAATTCTAAAGAAGCTAACAAACGATAATGAGACCTCTAATAATTCTCCTATTCACTCATTATGAATAGGCTATAATAAGATGGCAATATTGAGGCAACAACTTTGTTCATTTTATTTTCATTTTTACCCACTACCCTCTTGGAAATCCATAAAATATAGATACATAAAATGAAAAAAACGCTTTTACATTCCTGTTTTCCAGATTCAGTGTCTTCCTTTTACAGAACTTATTCCTGCTATTGGAAAAGCACATTCTTGAGTACTGCGATCTCCAAAATTGGGTAACAAGTAGTCCTGGATGTACAGAAAGACTTTTTCAAGGAGTGAAAACTAGCGCATGGCTAGTTTTAAGGGTATCTATTTGCAACTCTCAGCTCCCATATATTATTTTTCCTAAAATTATTCTGCTTAAGATGATTTTGGAGCGGTCCACCTTTCTTAAGTACCCTTCCCTCCATTTCACAAGAGAAAAGTTTGGTATACTGTTGCCAAATGGTTCTATACCAGTGAATTTAAAGCTCTATACTACTCTGTATCATCTTTGTAACACATTAAGTTTCTCAAGGTTTTACCACACTGGGGATAAAATAGAGACAAAGCCTGTTTACAAATCTTATTTGCGACTTCCTTTGCTTCTAGACTTGCTTAAACTTCTGTTCCCAAAGTACATTAAGAATCATAAATTATGAATAATGCCATTAAAATGCAAATTTAAAAGTTAATATAAATGGAATGTTATAGGAATGAGTTCTTCAGTAAATCTGAAAAAGTTAGTTCTCAATAAAAATATTTCTTTTAAGGTATTCTTAGCAACCTGTTGTTGTAGAGGGTGAGAAAGTAAACATTTTAGGCACTGTGTGCCATACAGTCTTTGCCATAACCATGCAACTATATTGTGGATTTAAGCAGCACAAACGATATATAAAGCAACAAGCATAGCTATATTAAAAAAAAAAATTTACGATAGTCTAGATTTGTCCCATAGTTTTTGACAGCAACTGTTTAAAGAAATTTTAAAAAAAGTTTACCAGATTTCCTTTGTCGCCGACCCAACAAGTCTGTGACTGCTTTTCGGAATTTTTTTGCTTCTTCTTCATTGGCAAAATTAAAAGCAACTTGACAAGTCTGAAATATTTTCATCAAGAAGGTAAATAAAAATACACAAGTTTACAAAGAACTGATTTTATGATATGAATAACTTAAGGCAAAAAGCATGAAGAATGTTAAGATAAAAGATGACTATTAGAAAGGTTACCTATCACAGTACATAATGAACTATTAATCTGAATACTTTATCTTCAACAGAAAAACAAAACAATAAATTAAATTTGGTCCCTCACTTGAAATGTACAAGTAATTTCAACTAGAAAAGACAAAAACTGGAAGAGTTGGTGAAAGACAGGTTAACTTTACTAGTTTATGTTTTTTTAACTCACTACAAGAATTTAATTATTACTTTAATTCAGGTAAGCTTTTTAAAATGTGAAAACATACTGACTGTATTTGTTATTGCTATAATTAATGTTATTGTTACGATTAATTACATTTGTATCCTATCAAGAAAAATATGAAAAAAAAAAAAAAAAAAACAGAGCAAGATAATTCTCAAAAACATAGATATATCATCTAACCCAACCTTTTGGTTTCATTTTAGGAAGTTGCAAATATGAAAACAAAGGAAACTAAAATCACCCATAATCTTCAATTAGTCAAATCCCTATGAATACATGGTATAGAACACCTCCTCACATTTTCCCATTCTTCTCCGCCCCCCATTCTTCATTTCTTATTATATTTCAACACTCTTTCTAGGTCATGAAAGACCTAGAATATTGTTTCACAGAATAATTTGAATGGTAATATAGTATTTAGTACTTAAAAGTCATCACGGATTAGTGAATAAATAAGATTTATATTTTCAATCAAAATCAACAAAAAACTATGAACCAGAGACACTTTTTGTGGGGTGGGGGACGGGAGGGGAGGGATTGGGGTCAGAATGGGGCATTTGCAATTGTATGGGGGAATATAAAAATAAAATTTATTATTTAAATTTAAAAAAAAAAAAAAAAGATTTATATTTTCAGAGTAAAAACTAAAGCTCACAGAGGTTAAAATACTTGCCCAAAGTAACAAGAGAGGTTAAACTATCTTTCCAGAGAATGGATGAAAAAATAAACCTCTTTTCTACCTAACAAATTATATTGACAGCACTCTTTAATAGCTTTTTACTTTGACCCTTAAAATAGTAAAACATTAGCCATTTCTGCCTATTTAGCTACCACAGCTATGAAAAAGCTTTTTAGAAGTAAAATACTTCTTTGTATTTTAAATAATATTTATATGAAAAGTTTACAAATGCTTTCTATAAGTGTAAAAGCAATTATATTAAACAGAACAATATAGAAAAATGTGACTTACATCTCCAGCAAAGGTATGAAAATATCCTCTAGGACTATTATATACAAAGTTATTGTATAGCTCTTGTTCCCATAATAGTTTCCCATCCTAGACAAAAGTTAAAAGAAGAATTACCAAAAAGATCATCTATAGGAATAAAACAAAGCGGATAACTTGTATTAACTGCTTAAATTAGTAATAGCTTTTACATACACATACACAACATATTTGTATCTGTAGTAACATCAATTTAATCAGTAAATTCTTATTAACAAAGCAATAAATACTGGGAGCAATAAATATTTATCCCAATAAATACTGGGATAGTGTTTCTTTCATAAAAACTACATATCAAATGAGTTTTCAGTATGCTAAAATATAATCTCATTAGTCAAGAATTCCCAAATACAATTACCTGGTCAAATTCCTATCTAGAAAAATTACTAGGTCATAGTGTTAGCTAGAAGGAGGCTACTTTTGTATATGCACTGATTACTATTGGACAGCTCCATCAGCAGTATCTGACTGTGTGCTATCAAATATTACAGGTACACTTCATATTCTTTTCCTCAATTCTGTAAATGCTGGGAGGGAAAAAATATGCCTGTTCAATACTGCTTATTAAGGCTCATTGAATTTCTAACTTTTGCAGAGTGGCTTCAATAAACACTGGAATAAGTAGTACCAAATCATGTGCAGAAAGAGACGGATGATTAAAGTGCACCAAGGTTAAAACGATGGTTAAAACGAGCCAGGGATGACTGTCGTCATAAAAGAAATATAATTAACCTTAGCACCAAAGGAGGCTAATTACATGTATTCAGCACTGGCTATCCACAATTAGAAATAAGTGGTTAAAGAATTATAATCATTGCCCTATTCTAAAATGCAAGGTTCAACCACAATTTAAAAATATTTAAAATACATTGTTCACACATACATCATGATCACCACAATAGAATTCCTTTCTTCTCACAGAGTTATATATATATATATTCCTTTTCTAAAGAGTGCTTATAATGGGAGATGAGAACTATTTCAAAAGGTTTACGGGTTTCTTTCCAATTATGTAAATGTTCCTTGTTCTCCTGAATCACCACCATAGTAAGCCTCTATTATTATTAACAGGAGTATGCACCATCTCTCATCTCTCCCAGTTGTGCAGGGAGTGGATATTAAGAAGCACTCATTTACAAAGTCTAGCAACTCAAATCTCAATTAATTTTAGGGACAAACTGCAACAAATTCAGATGATCGATCCCATTTTACAAATAGATAAGCCAAGGCTCAGAGGAAGTAAAACAATTTGACTACAAACTATCTGACCACAAGTATTCTCCAGGAGTTCTAAGTCATTTTTGGCTTTTTGTAACTATAATCCCATTATACTTTTGCCATATATAAGCAAGGAGGCTTACCGATGAAACCGGTTTTAAAAGATAAACTGAGACTTCATCTCAGCAAAAACATAACCACTTTTACAGCAACAACAAGAGAGGAATACATGACAAAGAAAGAGTACCCAATCTAGGACAATGTGGACTTATATTTGAGAGTAAAGGATTCCAAGCTATGAAAATCTGAAAATAACTACATTGAGAAACAACATAAGAAGAAAGAAAAGCAGATTACAGGTATCGCATAATGCTTTAAACCTGGGCTGAAGTAAATCAATAACTGTACATGCTAAAATATACTTTGTAGTAGTTCCCTGAGAGGACGTTGTATGGACAGGATGGAATAAAAGAGCATCAAGAGTAAAGGAGAGAATGTCAGGAAAGCCAAAGACCCAAAGGCATAAAAACAAACAAACAAATAATAAAAAATCTCCATTAATGTGTGATGGCAGTAAAAAGATAAAAATAACAAACAATTCACATTCTGGCTTCGGAACTGATGTAATTTGGTCACAACATCCATGTTCCCATACCTAAAATCAAGCTTCACTCGCCTAATATTAAGTATAATTTAAGTATTACATACAGCATAGGCAAATCTACATGTAATTATAATTGAGGCAGAAAAATGATTCATTTTTGAAATGAATCAAGCAAAACTTACCTTGATATCAAATATTCTTAAAAAATAAGATCTCTGTGGATTGTCCTTAACAAGACAAGCAACACCACTACACTTCTTTGACCACATACAGTTCCGATCCGCGGCATATAACTGCACCACTGCTGAAGACATAGTCTGCAAAATGTAAAATGTAAACCCATTAGGTTCAAAATAATGCTCAAGTGACCACAGTCCTGCTGACATCTTGCCTATAACTTCATAAGAGAGATGGCATCAGAAGCACTTAGTAAAGCTGCTCCTGAATTCCCGTTCCACAGAAACAAGGAAATAATAAGCATTTGCTGCTATTCTAAGCCACAACTTAAAATACAAGCCACAACCCATTTAATTTTTATTAGTATTATAACCTTATTTTCCATGAAAAATCTAAGGTTAAAGAGGATAATCTAATATCACACAACTAAGCAGCACAGCTGAAATTTTAATACAGGCAATCTGTTATTTCTGGTCTTGTATTCTAACTCTCAGGTAGTATGGTTTCCCAACAAACTGAATATTTAAGCAATGAAGTAGTAGTAGTAGTAAAGGCTGATTTCAATATGGCGTAAGCCACTTTAGTAGAAATGAAGTCAACTGAAAAGCAAGACTGGGTTACTAGTGATAGTGATGGACCCTTTAAACATGTAATTCGGGAAGATGAAGTCTAGCATTCCTTTATGAGATATGTCAAAGCAGAGGAGGAAAAAAAGTTGGTGACTTGCATATGGCCACACAGCTTGAAAGTTATACTGACTATTTTAAAAACGAGTTGAGCAATGATTGTCCCATTTTTCCCAAAGGATATATACCAAGCTAGTACTCTCTTAAGTGCATAGGTGAGATCCTTCAAGCATTAAGGCTTTCCAGTATACCTGGACACCACCTCCCTGAAGACTGTATCGTGAAACAATGGACACTTGCATTAAATTCTAAATTGAGTTTCTTTAATATTATAGTCTAGAATGTAACTAACTAATCTAGTTTCTGTAAAAATGACAAACACATATTGGGATAGCATTTACAAATCCTCTGAAGGTAATAATCTTGTTTTCTAATTCCAGTAATCTCATTCTTAAGCTAGACACTGAAGGAAATAATAAAAAATAAAACAAAGTTGTTAATATAAATATAAAAAACAGAAATATATAACATATATACTAATTATGTTTTTTAATTATAGATTTTAAAAGAATTTAAATGATCAAGTAATTATGGTTTATCAGTTTAGTGACTACCAAACATTATTTGAAAATAGCTTACAGCGAGATTGCAAGATATTGCCTGGGGAATGTCCTCCTTCCATGAGGATTCCAAAAACTATTTTATATATATGAGTCTTTTAATAATAAAGCCCAAATGTAAGATCAGTGTACTATGGGGGATCAAAATTTCATAAAGAATTTCCCAGATAACAGTGCACCATGCTATGTTTTTTAACTTTGCAGACCAAACTCATCTTTAAATTCCACGGACCATCATGAACAAGCCACAAAAGAACAGGAGAATTTCCACAAGAGCCATTAAAAAAATTAACAATATCACTTTGAAACTAACACGATGAGTTTAAAAAGGAGATTGAATAATGTGGATAATGCCTTCTGCCTGCTAAAAACATATCTGTGTTCTTCTTCAAGTATACAATCTCAACATTATAGCTCCTTAACCCCAAGTCCTTAAAACTTCAGAAGAATTGATTTTGTATATGTCATCCAAAGGTATTAAAGACCAAGTTGAAATAAAAATCAGGTAAGAAAATTCATTTTCTAAGGAAAATTCATTTAAGTTATGGCACTTTTAATATGGTGCTCTAAAAATGCATTCATTTCTAAAAGAAAAAGTGATCAGAAAACTAGATACCAAGGAAATGATCTCAAAATTCCCTTTCTTTACTTTTTAACCAGAAAACACAAATAGCTAACAAAAGGGAAAAAAGTGTGTTATTAGAATCTGATATTCCATTATGGAAATCCCCTTGCCAAGGATCAAGTATTAACATTGGGAAGCATTGCCTGAATGTATATGTGAACTTAAAAAAAAAATGATTAAAAAAAACACTTAAAATCCACATACAACATTGACATAAATTTAAAAGGAATTCTTAAAATGCACGCCTAAGAAATAAAAATCTATGAAATAGTTCTATAATATTCCACACAAACATAGCTGGCACTATAAACCTATTTTAAAGAAATTTATAAAATTTTAATACTAAAGAATCCAAGTAAGCATAAGCGATTTTCTGTGGCTGGATTTTCAAAATTCTACTACAGTCTTATCAATCTAAATATGTCCATTTTATTGGCAAAATCTGAAAATAATATACTTTGGTACCTTATAGTCTTTTCTGAATTTAGAATTCAGAAAAGAGTATACACTAACATTTAATATATAAAAACAGTGACTATCCCTTAAACCCTAGACTGACAGTGGCTTAATTAAGTTTTTTAAAAACATTCCTTCCATTCCTTTAAAGTAATTACAGCTAATCAACACCATTACTTCTTGTCTTTCATAATCAAGAAGATATTATTGAAAAACAACCAAAGAACAAGAGCTTAGGAAAGGAAACCTATCCCTTATTACTCATAATATTAGGGGTAAAAATCTGTAAACTCTAAGAGGAAAAAGTACTGTATCAACTTTTTCAGAAACAGAGCCCGTCTTATGCATTCTGGTGTTTCAGTATTGAGTTACCGCAGTAACACATTCATGCTCAGAACTTCCAAGGGCAGAAATAAGATGGAGGATGAATTCTAGGATGTGGATCCTTCCCACTGTCCTTTAGTAGAGCACTGCTCTCTTTCCTGGGTTGACTGTGCAATAGACAAGTAGTATTTCTCTGATTCCCTAGGTCGAAATGACTATTTTTTTCTTTGTCTTTTAAGTACCTTTTTGTGTGTGTTGTATAAATCTTGTTACATCAAAAATCTCATTCTGAGAGTAATTTTTTTTTAATTTACTACCCACCAAGTAAATAGACTAATTCCCTCAAGCTTAACAGTTTTGCAAGTCTGTGTTCTCATTTCACGTACACTTAGCCCCATGAAAGCAAGTTATTTGTGAAATCAAAAACTACAGTCTGATTTCTGTGACAGTATTATAATGACTAGGAGAAAGCCTTCAAATTAGGATACATACCATGAAGTATATTTAGGGGTATCATACCAGAAGCTCTAAAGTAACTCAGGAAAAATTAATATTATATATGTGTGTATACATATATACATAACACATATACATATATATATGAAAAAAGCAGGGAAACACGGTAAAATATTATAAACATCTGACAACTCTGGATAGGATATATAGGAACCTGTATATATCTGCAACTTTACTGTAAGTATGGCAATAGTATAAAATAGAAAAACTTATAAAGCACAAATGATTCAGAAAAACGTGAGCTCTTATTAGTCCCTTTCCACAGTGATGACAGTATTGGGAAGGTAGTTCTCTTCTCAGTATCATCACGACTTCCACATATGTTAGCTACCATCACACTGACCCAAATTAAGAAAACTGCCACGGTCTTCTGGTTCCCCCTATTCTTACACCAACTCTGTTAAAAGGAACTTCATACTGAGTAAGACTTAACTCTCAAACATCCAACACTTCTATAGCTTAATTCCTTCCACGTTTTCAAAATAGAGAACAAAAATTTTAAGTCAGGAAAACAGATGCTTTTTTTGGTATAGAACCAATTAATAACAGGGACAAGACTGGAAAATACCAGGACTTGAAGATTCTAGCTTGACAATCAACTGCCTACAAATACAAGATGAGTTAAGACTGAATAATTATCTATAATGACTATTATTTTAATTATATAAGTACACAATGATGTTAAAGAAAACAAATTTGAAAGGTTTATCTTTAATAAATATTCAAAATAAACTGAGTGTGGAAAAATATATAGCTGAGTCTTTTTTATAATCACAATGACTTACATTAATAATCAAAGCACTCCAGGGTGTGTGTGTGTGTGTGTGTGTGTGTGTGTGTGTGTGTGTGTGTGAGAGAGAGAGAGAGAGAGAGAGAGAACACATTTCACTATTTCTTTTAAAAAGATTGATTGATTGATTTAGTTAGTTAGTTTGTTTATGCAAGCACTGGGTACAGTCAGAAGCACGGGAGGGTGAGAGAATTCACAAGAGCCAGAGCGGGAGCAGAGCAGGCAGAAGGACCAAAGTACACTGCTGAGGGGAGCAGCAGGCGGCAGGAGAGGTCTGCCCAGGTGGGACCCTCCTCCGGTGGCTGGGGAGCAACTGGGGATCGAACCGGCGCTGCAGAGGCTGCGGGCAGCTTCGCAACGCAGCGCTCAACCGCTGCGCCACTGGGGAGGCCCACATTTCACTATATTTCTAAAATCAATCCTGGGAAAACGCATCCCAAGTTTTCTTATTACATAAAAAGTTAGCTTTAAAAATGTCCCTAGATACTCTGAGGTAATCTAACGAAATGCCACATTATGATCCTGAATTTTGCCATGAAAAATTATAAAAGGAATTACATATTAAGAAAAAGATACAAGAATTTTCTTGAATTCTTGCAATTAATTATATAACAATCTCAAGAAGCAATTTTACAGAAAACCTAAAAAACCCAATACAAGCACCAGCAATTTTTAAAAACAGAGACAAGACTCCAGTGTGATGAGTACTAAGTAAAAATCATTCAGGGAAAGAAAATGCAAATAATTCACTCTTGAAAGGAGAGATTTTCATATTGGTAATTTCCACAATGAGAACCAGAATTAGGTAGAAAAAGGTAGATTTTTTAAAAAAGATTTTTTTATTTATGCATACAAGAGCTAGGGTACAGGCCAGAGATGGGGGAGGGGGGGGTGAGAGGATTCACCAGAGATAGAGTAGGGAACAGAACAGGTAGACAGACCGAAATACACAGTCGAGGGGAGCAGCGGGAGAGACAGGAGAGGTCTATCTGGCCATGTGGGTTTCTCTCTGGCTGGCTGGGGATTGAACTCATGCTGCAGAGGCCATGGATTGCTTCATAGTGCGGTGCTTAACCCCTTGCACCACCAGGGAGGCCCAGAAAAAGGTAGATATTAAAAAAGACTGCATCAAGGACACAATACTCCACAAGAAAGAGTTAATTTTTAAAAAAACAAAACTGGAAGAGAAGGAGGGAAAAAGCAGTAAGACACAAACAGAAATCCAAAAGCGAAGAAAAATGGAGCTGGATTAAAACTGCTGTCTCAGGGGCTGAGCACAAGCAATCTTCTAGGTCTTAGTAGTTACTTAAGAAAACTACCGTGTCATGCATATTCATCTGCCAAATGTTTATTGAGTGCCTTCCATGTGACATAGATAAAGTGGGGTTGGAGGGGAATGAAAGTGGGGTCGAATACAAAAATGACTTAGAAACACACGGGCCTCATGAAATGTGTCCTAATGGCCAGACATTAAATTATCACAAATGTTATACAGGAAAATCCAGTATGCAAGGAAAATGTAAAACCCGCCTAGTTTGGGAATGCTCCCCTCGGTGACACTGTACCTAAAGAATGAAAAGGGATGACTCAGGTGAGCATGGGAGTAGGTATGGAGGAAAGAAAATTCTAGGTAGACATATCAACAAAAACCCACACAGGAAAGTGCTAGGGAAGTTTTAGGAATCTGTGGGGTATAGAATAAGAAAGAAAATAGTGGTAATGAAAGAAGTTACAGATATAATATTAAAGTAACATCAAACATGGCCCAACTCTATGGTTTAGAGAGAGAGTCCTATACAGTTTGAAAAAGTTGACAGGAAATGTGTATATTATTATAAAGCACAAATGATTCATAAAAATGCGAGCTCTTATTAGTCCCTTTCCACAGTATATTATTCCTGTAATGGAATGCCTGATGGATGCTGTAATTCCTGTAATGGATGCTGATGCCTCTTAGCATCCCAGTTCTTATAATACTCTCCTCCCCCCAAAGACCTTAGGTTTGTCTACATTACTTGTTTTAACCAAAGGGACCTCAGCAAGTAGAAGCAGAAGCTTGAAATGCACTTGCACGTAGTGGCTTGCCCTCTTGGAATTACTGCTCTAAGACCATTGGTGAAAGACCACATGGAGAGCAGGGCCCCAGTAGGCCAATGTGTCCTTAATGAGTCCAGTTTCCATGACACATGCCAGCTACAAGCACTGCACGCATGAGCTTGGGTGACAGGAGCAAACCGACTACCCAGTCATTCCACAGAATCACAAGTAAGTTGATAGTGCTTTCAATTATAAAATTCTGAAGTAGTTTGTTCAAACTGATATGTAACAGATGTTGGGGGTTATTTTAATATACTAAAAAATATATAATGACCTACTATAGATGATTTTAGTTCATTCCTCCATTATATACAATATATATATCTGATAGATAATGTGTATATCTACACATACACACACATACTGGAAATTGTTTTTAAAATTATCAGTGAACAAAAAATTTTAACTGAATATCAAAACAATTTTAGAGTCCATTCTCATTACCAACACATTTTCTTTTCTTTTTTGGAACCATTTTAAAGATGACATAATATTCAAAAACTTTACTAAAACTTGTGCTGGGCAACAGGCTAGGGTCACTCTAAACAACTTAAGGGACCAGGTCAATTTACTTGCCAAAGATCTTGTATTGCTGTTCATTTTATATTATACATATACTGGTTATGATACATCTCAATTCCTAACTTATCATAGCGACATGTCAATCTATATGATACTGTGATTAAAATTATAGATCTAGAAAATTGTTAACCATGTGGTACAGACCTATATAGCATTACCTGCAAACAGTCAAAATTATAGCTAAAATTACAAATGGCAATGCTTAGTGTAGTCTTACTTTTCTATCTGAAAGATAATCATATACAGATAAAGATAAGAAGGAGGCCAATCTTGTCACAGACTGGTAATATCTGCAACAGATGAGGACACAGTGTTAAAAGCACAGTACATAGGTATGGCTTGTTCTGTTTTTCCTTTCCCTGTAGCTTAAGTGAAACTGCTAAAAAATGTTTTTTCTTCTCTTTTCTTTTTTGTCTCCTGATCCCTCTGCTTCTTCTCTCTTGCAAGGTCAAATGAATTATGGTAACAACTATAGTTTGGATCTAGATTTTCAATGAATGAGGGTGGAAAGAGGTCCCTTAAGATTCTCACCTCAGCTCACCAAAGTCTGATACTGCCAGCTGACACCCAAGCTACTACTTCCCTGTACAAGTCTGGGATGAGAGGATGTAAAGGTAGGTGCTTTGATCCCTGATGGGATCTGGATATTCCTGAATGTTAAGAGAAAATGCCATCTATCATTTCATTGGGATTTTGCCCAATCCCATCTAAATGACCCTCTAAGAACTATATATTCTTAATAAAAACTTATTCTTCTGATCGCATTTGGTTCAGGTTTCTTACCTCACTTGGGGGGAGAGGAAGAAAAGGCTGGCAGTAGTGGTACTTGTAGAAAATAGAAGACTGCCAGTGAAAGAAAAAAGAGGATCTTTATGAAAAGAAAAATTTCAAACATTTATGTCCTAGGAGCACAGGGAGATTTACCATGGAGTAATTTAAGCTTAAGTTTCAGGGACTCTTCCTTGGAAGAGCACCTCACAGGCCTGAATTGATGCCCTTGGAACATCTGTACGGTAGCAGCAACCCCAGCCTCATGCTGAGGGGGCTCTTCTCTGGTTATCCCTCAAGATGATCTGAGATTTCCATCAAGGATACACTAACTCTGTATTGCCCAACCTCAGCAATAACCTGTCCCTCCTGGACTATATGGCACATCCAGACTCAATCTCAAATCCCAAATGAAAAGGGTCTGAATGAGTGCTGTCCAGTTCCCTGAAGGGAGTAGGAGGAGATGGTATATACTCTGACCAAATTTCATGGACGCTTTGGAGCAGGGCACATGGTCCAGACAATTCAGATTAAAAAGCTGTAGTTTTTCCCATGCAAGAAACACACTCTTAACAAAGTGAAAGAAATCATAGACATGCCATTACCAGTGATTGGTTTTTAAATTTTTCTTTCAGCTTCACAGCTATCCATAAGAAAAAATAAGTAAATTTTGACCAAATACACTTGAGTAGGAATCTTTGGCCTAGGACATAGTTTGCCAAGCTCTGTACAACAAGAAAAATCCTCTCTATAGAAAATATAGGATTTTCATGTAAAGAGGCAATCCGTGAATGTGGCCAAAACAGGTAAAAAACTATTAAGGAGATGTATCAGTCAATTAATAACAACAATACATTATAATAAACTGTCTTCTGGATTTTATGATGTTTATGGCATTTTTTTATTTAATGTGATCTTTTCCATACCAACAACCATTTTTATACTTAATTTTGAAATTTTTCATTTAAAGAGAGTACCTCTAAATTGTATAAGCTTCGGGCAACTAAACCTAGATCAGTCTGACTTGGGGTGAGAAAATGCTACGTCAGTTAGAGCAAAACAATTTTGCTAAAGATAACTGAACTACCTAAGCCAACATATTCCTTTTGCCAAACCAAACTTAATGCAGTACACCTTTTTTTTTTTAACTTACAGTGATCTTACTAATTTAACAATTTAAAAAAAAAAAACAAACACTGAATAGTCAGGTGGGTGGAGGGTGAGCTGTGAGGTCTTTTACAGTTAATCTTCTATTCAATATAAAAATGCTTTCCATAAAATTTTTAATAGATGAATGTTTTGATGTAATGGGGAGCTCACAACTTGAGGGGAAACTATCTTATTGCTGAGCAGCTCAGTTAAAATATTCTTAATGCTGAACTTAAATCTGTTTTCCTAACAATTCCCACACATAAGTATTGTATTCTTAAGTCATTCATTTAAATATCTGTTGTGCATTTGCTATGATAAGCACAATGCTAAGTACTGTAGCTCCAATGATGCAAACCTGGAGATGTGTACTGCCCCCACTAACTACAGCACGCTTATTTCTATGTAGCGGTAAAAACATTTTCACTTCCATAGAGATATGGTCCCAACAACTCTACTTCTCAGTATACCTATTTTTCAGCTAAAATTTATCTTGCTTTTTCCTTATCTGACTTGATTTGTATGTAGAGTCCTTGTTACAGTCTGGTTGTCCCTGATAAAACAGAACAAATGATATTTACAAGTGGTCTTGTCAGAGCAGAATTTTAGAAAAATGATGGGGGAAATAATTTGTTCCCGGGGCCTCCCTGGTGGCGCAGCAGTTGAGCGCTGGGTTGCGAAGCTGCCCGCAGCCTCTGCAGCGGCGGTTCGATCCCCGGCTGCTCCCCGGCCACCGGAGGAGGGTCCCACATGGCGCACAGACCTCTCCTGCTGCCCGCTGCTCCCCTCCGCAGAGTACTTCGGTCCTTCTGCCTGCTCTGCTCCCCGCTCTGGCTCTGGTGAATTCTCTCACCCTCCCGCGCTTCTGACTGTACCCAGTGCTTGTATAAATAAATAAATAAATAAATCTTAAAAAAAAAAAAAAAAAAAAAAAATTTGTTCCCAATGACAAAAAGAATTGTATGTGCCGCCTCATCTCATCTATCACACTATATGCAGAAGACACATGGAACTCTTGTCTTCTCTCACATCTTCCATTTCAATTTTGTATTCCCAAAAATGAAACACCTTTTACCCTTCTTTTACCTGGCTAACTGCTCACTTTTCAAATCTCAGTTCAGAGCATCACCTAGTGGCTAAAAAATAAAATTTAAAATGAAGTAGCCCTGTAAGTAACAATAAAGAGCCTCAAAATGCATATGTGGAAAAAAGCAAAAGGTAAAATGTACATACAAAGTGAATGTAAAAATGAAGGGTACAGTATGCCAACATTTGTCACCACCACACAACAAGAATAAATAATTTCGATTTTCCTAAATATGCATGAAACTGTCTGGAAGGTGAACAGAAAACTAGTAATATCTGTTAGCTGTTCAGGAGTTTTGTGTGTGCACATGTGTTTTATCAGGCAAGGACTAAGGCAAACGTACGACAGGGTGGAAGGTATACATCTCATTTTCCATATTTTTTTATTTTAAATGATGTGATATAGTAACTTTTCAAAAAGTTAAGTATTGATTTGAAAAGTACACCTAAGAGAAAGGGGAAAAAAAATTCATTCAATTCACAATATGGTATAAGTCTGGGAGAAAAAAGATTATCTTTGATTCAGACTGTAGCCCAGGAAGAATTTCCAGTAGCTTTCAGAAGACTTCCCTTTAAAATTTAAAAATGAAATTGCTAAAAATAACACTGTAGTATCTAAGAGCATTAAGTAATAAAATAGCAAACTTTGACTACCACAGGGAAATAGCTTATGTCGGGAATGAAGGCCAAAGTCTGTAGTCTCTTTTACAAACTTTCTGAGTCTTTTGAACTCTTAAACATGATCAAGCAAGCTTAAAATTCAATCTAATTTGTCTTCCACATCTATTATTCTATATGCAGCAACTCATAATTTTCCAAGTTTTTAAATACAGTCAGAGATGAGCATATTATTATTATAGACAAAAGCACATTTACTTTGCCTGACTTTCTTATGTACAGTCAAGGTGGGAGAAGATATGCAGATAGATAATCTGAGACTATAAAAAGTTGAAATTCAAGGTACAACCTAAGTGAAGTTTTTCAGTACAACATTTGAGACTCTCCCATATATTTTAATGTAAGAACTAGATATGGAGCAAAAAAACAAACAAGCAAAAAAAAAAAAACAAAACAAAAAACGGCAAGAGCCCATATGAAAATATCCATAAGCTAGTCAATAATTTGAGAAATAAATTATTCAATACCTAGGCTTTATACACTTCCTCAGAAAGCTCAATTTAGCTGGTTCTACAGGCAACTTTTATACAAAATGTCTGAATCAGTATTTCTAATTCTGGTTATCATTAGTGAAATTAAATGAAAACTGCAAACTCCATGAAGTGAGGAAACTTTACCATCAATAAATCACGAGCATGAAGATTGAAGGAACGTGAGGATTTTATATACCATACTCTGTAAAATCCCTCCATGTATTATTAAAAGCAAAAACAATCTGAAGATTTTCTTTTTTTATGGAAAGAGGAACTTGTAGAGTCGAGTGCATATATACATTTAATAATTTGAATGTTTTATATTTTTTATAAGTGCAAATTATTTGAGAACAAATAAATAAAACTATTTGCGTCAAAGAGACCTTTCACAAAGTTATTCTCCTTTCCAGGCGTGCCCCATATTTGGGTGGCTAGTCAGGTGGGAGGGTGCTATTAGGTTCAAAGTCCTCTTCCTTCTGCCCTCTGATGCTGCACCGTCTAAGGCAGTCATTAGTCATACACAGTAGCTACTTAAATCTTAAGTTGAAAATCTGGATCCTCAGTCCATATTAGCCACATTTCAAATGCTCAATAGCTACACGTGATTACAATACATATTGTACTAGTCTGCACAGAGGATATGTCCACCTACATAAAAAGTTCTGTTAGGGCCTCCCCGGTGGCGCAGCGGTTGAGCGCTGGGTTGCGAAGCTGCTCGCAGCCTCTGCAGCGCCGGTTCGATCCCCGGCTGCTCCCCGGCTTCTCCCGGGCCACTGGAGGAGGGTCCTGCATGGCGCGCAGACCTCTCCTGCCGCCCGCTGCTCCCCTCAGCAGTGTACTTCAGTCCTTCTGCCTGCTCTGCTCCCTGCTCTGGCTCTGGTGAATTCTCTCACCCTCCCGCACTTCTGACTGTACCCAGTGCTTGTATAAATAAACAAACAAATAAATAAATAAATAAATCTTTAAAAAAAATTAAAAAAAAAAAGTTCTGTTAGACTCTACTGCTCTGAAGTCCTAGGGAAGAGATTTTATACAATTACTTTCTAGAATAAGACTTAAAGTTTATAAGGTCAAGAGTAGGACAGAATTAGGATCATTCACTAAGGAATAGTCATAATAAAAAGAATTAACAAAATCATATTTATTCATAAGATGTCTAGTTAACTTAGAGACTAAATTTGAAAGGCATTAAGTTCAATCAAAAAATATTTCTTAATGTGTTGAGAAAGACAGTTAAGGAATGCTCCCTATCTCCAAGGAGTTAATGACCTAGTAAGAGAGAGATGTGTAATAAAAAAAAGCTTTAACAAATTATGCTACAAGTACCAAATGAAAGTAGAAATAAAGTTGTTCTGGGAAGGCTGAGAAGAGAACCCTGTTTTTTCTAAATAGGGTCAAGGTGAAGGCAGAGAATTAGGAAATGTCCCAGGGAATAGTATGAGAATTGAAAACACATTCTGGGATAGATTCCACCAGTTATAAGCTGTATGATTTTTAGGAGATTACTTAACTTTTCTATCCATTTCCTTATCTGTAAAATGGGGATATATTACTAACTTCATCTTGGGTTATGAAGATAAAATTAGTTAATGCTGCAAAATGGTCTGAACAGTTCCTTCATCAGCAAGATTATCAGAATTAAATAACATAATGAACAAAAAAATGCTCAGAAAATTGCACAGCATTGTTGCACTCACTGAATGGTAATTACTGATATCAGATTTATCAATTGTTGTATTTCCAATCGGATCATCTTAAAGCTGTACTACTAACTTAAAGAAACTAGGGATAGGAGGACTAGTATTTTCTCTGTTCCAACTAGTGGGCACTGCCTCCCAAGCTCTCATCTACTTCCGCAATACTTCTAATGTTAAAGACCTACTGCCTCTTCTCCAGAGACAAACATCTGTGCTGACTCAAGTCAGTTAAGATTCTCTCCCAGGAAATTAGAATTCCAAACCCAGTCACAAGCCTGCATGGTTGAGGAAGAAGATGTCCAGGGTTAAGAAGTACCACCCACTCCTATGGTTCTCAGTTTCCCAAGCTCCAACAGGTCCTTAAGTTTTATTGTTCAATTCTGTTTCAAATTCCATGGGATTCTCTGGTAGTCAATAAATTTCTTTTTGCTAAAGCCAGTCACTCTAGTTTCTGTTATTTGTCCAAAAAGAACTTAACAATACACTTGCAAAGTAAATGTTTATATTCTGTATATTCTCATAGCTCTTTAATAGCTTAATGGAAATCAATGAGAAAGGACACCATATGTATATGCTATTATACAGAACTATATGAGATCTGAAGTTTATACCTACCTTTGACCTGAAGCATTATAAAAGTCTAAGAGGAATATAATGCCTCTATTTTATTCCCCTTCATAAATTCTATTTGCCAATTTTCTTTTAACATATAGATTCATGTTTAAAATTGTAATAGGTTCCAATTTGACAAGAATCAGTTTAAACTCTTTTGCAAGGATTCAATTTCT